GGCTTCTCCTGGTTCCTGAGAGATGGCCTTCACCACACCACACAGTTCAGCTGAGGTTTTGAGGTGGCCCAAACTGAGCCTGAGACATGGCTGGTTCTACTTGTACAGGGAAACAGAGGGTCTTGGGCCCTGAAGAGTGTGGCATCAGGGACTCTGGTACATGTTCCAGAGTGAGCACAGTGCTGTCGCTCCAATGACTTCCACCAATGGCTGTCTAAACTTAGTGGCTGTCTAAACTTACAGCAGTAAATGGCAGAAAAGTCAAAACCCAGTTTTCTTCGTTGCACTAGCCATGCTCCAAGCACTCAGTGGCTGCGCATAACGTGTGGCTACCGCATTGGGCAGGACAGACATATGGTATTTTCGTCCGCATAGGAAGCTCTGTTGGCTAGCCCTGCTTTGGGGCTTCCTCGGGGGTTGGGGGGGGGGGAGTTGGGTTGTTCTCTTTTCCTAGAAGCTCCTCCACTGTCAGCTGGCAGGACTCAGGTCCAAGCACCAAAATCTCACATCCTATGTCCATTCTGCCAGAGAAGTGGGGCCAGTCCGGCCCTCCTCACTGCCTCCACAGTCCACTCGTCCTCTGAGAGCTCACATGCCCGGCACTTCCCTCCCCAACCTAGGTTTACAAGGGCTTCCTCCCTCCTCCTGGTACTGCAAGACACAAGGGTCTGCAGGACACAAAACCTCTGAAAAGAGGAGAGAGAGTTAGGTGTGGCGGTGTAATCCTGTAGTGCCTGTAATCCTGAGGCAAGAGGGGTGTGAGTTCCGGGCTAGCCTGGGCTACATAGTAAGATGCTTTCTCCAAAAGGAGGTAGGCAAGCCTGGAGTGGTGGTGCACACCTTTAATTCTAGCACCTAGCACTCAGGAGGCAGAGGCAGGTGGAGCTAAGTTTGAGGCCTGCCAGAGAAATCCTGCTGCTGTCTCCTTCTCCTCCTTCCCTTCCTCCTCTTCCTTCTTCCCCACACCCCATGCATGTGTGTTCTCTACATTTATTTCTTTATTTAAGCATTTAGACAAGGTTTCAATATATATAGCTCTGGAATTCACTATGTAGACCAGGATGACCTTGATTTGAACTCGCAGAGATCTGCCTATTTCTACCTCCCAAGTTCTGGGATTAAAGGTATGTACCACCCAGTTCTACATTATTTTTCTGAGACAGTGTCTTTCACTGATTGGCCAGTAAGCTTCAGGATTTCCTGCCTTGGCCTCCCCAGCAGTGGTGGGGTGTCCACCACCACATCTGGCTTTGTTTGTGGTTCTGAGGATTCAAACTCAAGTCCCATTCTTGTGTGGCAAGCGCCTTATCCACTGAGGCATCTTCCTAACCCACAGTTCATTCTTGTTCTGACAAGTCTATGGTAAAGTAAGCCAGTGTACACTTCCCCATCTCCACCACTCCTGCTTCACGGGCTCAGCCACTCCTCTACTCTCTAAAATCACCATCTGTGACTGCCCCCTGAAAGACCCCAGGGAGCCACTGGTCCAACCATCTCCTTCCGCATCAGGCCCCAAGAAGGATGCACCCAAGCCTACATGGCATCCGGCTCAAACTTCAACAAGCACAAATGACTCCAAGCAGCGTGTAAGCCATAGGAACCAAGTTTATCAAGTGTTCACGACATGTTCAGGGGCTTGATAAAGTCACTACGGTTGGTTTAGTACCACCAGCACCAGCATCACCAGCGCCAGCATCAGATTCGATTCTGAGGCCGAGAGTTTAGCTGACTTGCCTAAGGCCACACAGCCAGTTAGAGGCGGAGTTGGGACCCAAATCTAGGTCAGCTGGAACCTGAAAGTCGCTATGCGTCCAGTGAATCTGAAACCAACTTCCGAGGACCAATCTTTCCCTCTGTAGGGCCTGGGATGAGGTGAATGATGAGAGAAGCGAGCAGAGAGTTGGTTTCAAAAGCAGCACGTAGGATGCAACACTGCCCAGTGCCCGTGCCCTCTGTTTTGGGCGTTGTAACCATGGGTCAGAAAATCAGAGTCATGTATGAAGTTTCCCCTCGTAAGATGAGCTTGTGAGAGTCTCTTGAGAATTTTTTTTGTCTCAAGACTTGTACTTTCCAAGTTCAGAGACTGTATGGTTGGACCCCTTGCCTCTCACCCCAGATGTGCTAGTTTTCATTTTCAACCATGAAGCAAGGAGGAGCCAGGGCTGCAAGGCGCGAGCTCTAGTTTAATTCTGCTGCTACCACCCAGCGCAATCGTGTAGAGGAAAGGATGTATTTGACTTACACTGCTGGGCACGTCATTGAGGGAAGTCAGGGTAGGAACTCCAGGGAGACCTTGAAACCAAACCTGTGGAGGGGCGCTGTCTGCTGGCTCATTCACGAGATCATGCTTAGCTAACTTCCTAATACAACCCAGGACTGTGTCTGCCCAGGGAATGGTACTGCTCACAGTGAGTGGGTGGGCCCCTTCTACATCGACTAGCAAGAAGATGCAGCCCCACAGACACGTTGGCCAATCTGATCTGGGCAATCCTCAACTGAGACTCCCTTCTCAGATGACCCTAGACTATGTCAAGTTGACAGTTAATGTTAACTAGGACAATGAGTTTTTCTAGATTGCCAGTTTCAGCCACGGGAACTCCGGCTCCCAAGTTCGAGGTCAGCTGTGCCCTCTGGTGGACAGGAGTGGATTCTCAGGATTAGAGCAAATGGTTCTTCCACGGGGGAGCTAATTTATGGAGACTGTATTGATATTGTATTAGATGACGATTTTTTTCTTCGTTTCACCCAGGGTGGTAAAACAGATTCCTAAGCCTGTTGTTTTGTGGGGCATGGGAGCACTGGGAAGGAAGACCAATGTGTGTGTGTGTGGCACAGTGAGGATCCTCACTGAGGAATAGAAGCTTCTAGATTGCAATCCTTTATAGCATCACCCACAGACCTCATGTGCTATGCATGCACAATCCACTCTGAATGAAAAAAAAAAAAAAGGCAACCTCAAAGAGACCCAAAAACCACGCCAGAGGGTCTTCCTGTCAAGCTCCTCTGTGTTGGTGGTCGCCTCCCTTCTGCGTTTTTTCTCTCATTATTCTCCAGCAACCTGTTTCTAAGCAACCCTGGTTTCCTAAGGACCATGCTTGTCTGGTAAACTGCACCTCTAGGCATCTGTGGTCGGATCTCTAAGACGTGCTGTTGGATGAAAGTGTGCGACCGCCAAGGATGCCTGTGATGGTGACTATGGGTGGCCACCCTGACAGGATCTAGGATCAACTATGAGACAGGTCTCTGGGTGTCTTCCACGAGTTTCTAGATTAGGTTAACTCAGGTGGGAAGACGCACCCTAACTGTGGGTATCATCATCCATGGGCTGGGGTCCCAGACTGCAGAGGAAGGAGAAAGTGACTGAACACCGGCAGCGTCCGTCCGTCCGTCCGTTTCCTGACTGCAGAGGTGAGGCCGGCTGCCTCAAGCTCCTGATGTCGTGACTCCCCTGCACGATGGACTGCACCCTTGAACTGTGAGCCCACGCAGCCCCTTCTCATTGACGCCGTTTCCTGTCAGGCATTTGAGTACAGCAACAAGAAGAGTAGCTAGTGCAATGGCCGAGGCGTGTTTCTATTTGTAAACTAGTCAGATTCCATGGCCAAACTAGTTGGTGGTGTTGGAAGTCTGGGTCGTGTTTGCTGGGGTGAGGGAGCCTAGGAGAGGCTGGCTGGGGCATGCAAGACCTGACCATTATGGCTTTGTCGTATTTATTTGTTTGTTTGTTTGTTTGTTTATTTGTTTATTATTTATTTATTTATTTATTTATTTATTTATTTATTTATTTATTTAAGGCAGGCTGTCCCAGAACTTGCTTGTAGACCAGGCTGGCCTCGATCGAAGTCACAGAGTTGGGATTACAGGCGTGCACCACCACTGCCCTGCTCCATTGTTTTTTGATATGAGCACTGGTCATATTCGTGTCCACCTCACAATGGTTCATCCATCTATATCCTAGTGGGTTCTTTTTCCACTGGTTTTGAGTTTTCAAAACAGTGCATTAGAATGTCATTTGTCCAGGTTACTGAACATTTATAGGGCTATGATACCCCAAAGTCTTTGTGCCTGAGTGAGTGACTCACTGATCCTCACCTTAATCTGAATTATGAAGGTCAAGTTTTCCAGTATTCACCCCACTGTGCCATAGATATTTCCAACACCATCAGACTCTTGCTGTGTAGCCTGGAGGTAATAGCTACCCCAGTTTCTCTCCTCTCTTGTCTCCCCAGCTCCCATTACTTCTCACGGACTGAACCTGAATGGGAACAACTGTAGAAGCGGGGGACACAGGAGGGAGGGGACAGACCTGGCAGGAGGCTCTTAAAGTCTGGCTCTTTATCTCTGATTCTTCCCCCAGCTCTACCTTTCACATTCCCACCACCCTTCCAGCCTCCTGAGAGCTTCTGTTGGGAAGAAAACTCCCTCAACTGGGTGTCATCCCACAGCAGCCGTCAAAATGCATGTACCCCTCGTTCTTTGCCCAATACCCTCAACTCTCCACATTCTCGAAGACGATAGGAAGCACAGAGAGGTGGACACACCTGAAGGTGACTCTTTATACAACTCTCTCTCTCTTAGGAAAGGGTTTAACTTCTAACCCAGAGGGGACAGGATGTCTCCCAGGACTGCAGGACATTGTGTGAGACTATTAGTAGCTACTGAGGCTCTTAGTCACACAGCTGCAAGAAGATTAGTCTGTCAACAGCCCGAGTGAACTTGGACATGACTTTTCCCCAATCCTATCTTTGGATGAAAAGAGAAACAGATTACCACTAACCTATGATGTGAGAGCTTGAACAGAGGACGCGGTGGAACTAAGCAGCAGACAGCTGAGCCCTGGGCTCCCCTCATTAATGTCCTTTTATTTCCTCTTATGTAGACAGGTTGGTCAGGGCAGGGGATTCGACAGATTCCTCTGAAAACTGTCAAGATGCTGGGAAAACGAATGCAAAGCTGGCATAGATTGGGATGCCCACGGTTTGGATTTTCAAGGTCTGAGATAAGAAACGAAAGAGAACAAATGAGACTTTCAGGATGAGGCTGAGGTGCCAAAGACAGCTGCGTAAGTTCCTGGTTCCCAGTGCTGGCTCCACAGAGAGTATAAATACACAACATTTTAGACATCGTTTAGACACAGTGAAGTGTATAAATCTGTGAGAGTTGTCCCGAGGCCACACCTGTGCTGTCACCTGATCAAAGGGAAGCACATTGTCAGCCTAGCCTCTCCCCACCCCCCACAGAGAGAATGACTGTGCTGACTCCAGCCCTCCCCAGGGTCTGGACTGAGAATGACTCTGGTGTGTGGAACAGCCCCATACCCAATAGAATACCGGCATGAGCCCCAACCGCAAACCCACAACCCAAAGAACCCCCTTCTGGTTCTCTGGCTATTTGGGGACTGTAGCCACCAAAAGCCAGGTAGGTACTAAGTCTGCTTAGATGTTGGTGCCACCCTTGGGCTGACTGGGCTCTGTGCTCCTGGGTTAGCCTTCGGAAAGATATCAGAGGAACTGATGAGCTGTGACACCTCACATCTATACACAAATACCTAATGACATTTACAAGATGGGTCTACTGTGCCCCTGATTTGATTTGTTAGAGTCAACCACAACTACTGGTTGTGCTTTTTCGTTTTAGAAGGTTTTCCCTTGGTATCATTTGGAACGTGATCATCCTTAGGAAACTTGTTGGAGCCCACTAGGTTTCCTAGTGGCTGTACCCAACAGGACTGCATAAGAGGTTGAATGGACCACGGGTCTGGGTACCAGGTGTTTGTAAGGGTCTCATTAGCAAAGGGGGAGGTCTTTTGCTCTACCCCTTGGCCTTGTTATAAATAGCCCTTTGGAATAAAGCTCTGGGCCCGTTTGGGTAAGGATCCAGGGTCACTCGAGTCTATCCTGTGCTTTCTCTGTTTCTTTACTCTCTATTACTAACTAACTCTCTTATCCCTCATTCCTCCAGAGTTCCTGGGGTAAATAAGCGTGGGGGCTGGTCTCCCACAGAAACTGAAAACGATCCCCTGATGGTCGGTCGCTGGTGGCTTGAAGATAGGGACGCCCATGAAGGGGCGAGGGAAGGAAGGAGCAAAAAGGAAACAGAACGGAGAGGGGAAAGCCAGACAAGGCGGACGCTCACGTGGCTTTTGCAGCCTGGCTTGACGAACCCAAACTTCTGCGTGATCTGGTTGGTCCTGAACTCCTGCCATCTGCCATCCACCATCGTCTGGGCTCTGATCTCATACTTCACCAGGCGCTCAGTTCTCAGGCTGATGGCACTGTGCTCGCAGACGGGTGAGGGGCACTCCAAGTCGGTGTGTCTTATTCTCTGCAGAGAGAGTGGCCCATCCAATGTGACCAGGTGACCAGCCTAGTGACCAGGGTGACCAGAGCTAGCTAACAGTTCCTGACACCCAGCCTTCCTGTTTCATTCTATACAGATAGTACCAGGCCATTTCTCCAAACGGCCACCGCTGGAACCCTGTGACGTCGGAGACCTCTCCATATGCAAACCACTTTCAGTGGACTAGGGCTTGGCCGTCACGTCAAGCTTCCTTATTGCTGTGCTGGGATAAAGCTCCAACAGTGTATACACAAAGGCCAATGATGCTGTTACATAATTCATCCCTTCCATTCAGTTAGGAAGATGCCCGAGGGCCTGGTGACCAAGATTGGAGGGCCCAGGCCCAGGCAGAGAAGGGACTTGCTATGGGGACACATTAGAAGGTGGTGGCCAAACTGGGACTAAAACTCAGATTTCATCATTTGGTCATTCATTCATTCATCTATCCTCTTATTCACTCAAAGTTTCTAGGTATGGAGACTGACAGCAAAAAATAGAAAGCCAAGTGAAAGCTTGACGTTTAGAGAAGAGAGATTTCTAAGCAAATCCTAAATGGAATACAGCAGTCCTTCACCACAGTACCCATCATTGTCACTACCCTGTCTGCTAAATATGTGCAATACTGGACTAGGAGCACAGCTCAGCAGTACAGCACATGCTTAGAATGCACACATGTAGTCCAAAGTTTCTCGGGTCCCACGCCTGCCGCCGCCCCCTTCCCATCCCCCAGCCAATTCTAAAATAATCATTCAGAGGCTTAATACTAATTATCAACTGTGTGACCTATGGCAGGCTTCTTGCTAGCTAGCTCTTATAACTTAACCCATTTCTATTCATCTATAAGTTGCCATGTAGCCATGGCTTACCGGTACTTCCACATCTTGCTTCTCCTGGCGGTGGCTGGTGTCTCTCTCCAGACTCCACTTTTCTCTTTCCTGTCTCTCTCCTTGGATTTCCCACCTGCCTCTAAGCTGCCTTGCCATAGGCCAAAGCAGCTTATTGATTAACCAATGGGAACAACATATATTCACAATGTACAGAAAGACATCCCCCAGTACACAAGGCCTTGAGTTCCATCCCTAACTACCAATTTTGGATAAAACATACACAATGCTTCCTATGCCCAGTCTGTTCCAGGTCCTTTGCATAATTACCACATTAATACTCTGAGGTCGGTCCTGCTCTTGTCTTCAGATGCCCTGCTGTGTCACTCTAGACAGACTCATCCCCTCTCCTACTTGTGGGCACTACCTGTCACTTCTTCAAAGTATGACCGTGGGCAAAAAGAAAACATCAGCTATTATGTACAAAGTGACAATGATTTGACTCCCAGGACAGACAAGCTGAACCCTGACTTTGTCAAGAGGCCACATGACATCAAAGGGAAGTCACTCAGAGTTGACAGCCTCATCTACTGCCAGTACCGACCTCCGCAGCTGCTTGTGAAAATCACATGGCATCACATCCATGAGTGTGAACAGTGCTTTCGGACACAGCCTGTGTGAAGGGTGAACTAATGATTCCTCAATTCCGTTTCATCCCGTATGAACGGGCTGGCCCTGAGTGGCTGCTTCAGAGGTGTGCCTTCCCTGTGCTCCTGCTTCTTACCTGCATAGAAAAACTGTAAGAGGTCGCATCATGTCTGATTCCCTTTATCTCAAAGAAGTATCCATATATAGAAATCCTTTCCGAGTAAGTGGTATATTCCTACATTGGGAAAGAGAAGTGACAAAGTGAGAGGGGGGAAATACCATCCGTATTCAAATGCAAGAGGATGCAGGAAAACCAGAGGGACACATTCAGAAACTGCCACTGCTCAGAAACAGCTACCAGCTTCTTCCAATATTCCTAATCATTACTTTGCATGATTCTTTGGGGGAGAAATAATGAGTTCGGTATGGTCTGAAACGACCCGGGGGCTGCAGTGACTCTTGTTCCAATGTGATGGGCCTGTGAGACATGCCATACTATTCTGCAAAAAGATCTGCTTTGGTGGGTCGCTGCAGCCAGGTACTGAATCCATCTCTCAGATGATAGATTTAGATCCCAAGTCCCTGAAACATGAGTTCTTTTAAGATCTGTGCTAATTACCTTAAATAAGTCATACAGCAGCATTAAATATATATGTAGTAAATTAAAAATGTAATAAATATATATAGCAACAAGCCCAAGACAGAGCACAGCCACCCACCCCAGATCCTGTCCTATGACTGAGCACTGAGATGCCTCACACTGGAGCTCCTTGGCCACCCGTGGTTTGATTGGAATCCACTGAATCAGCTCCGTGCATGAGGCAGGTCTTGAAATTTGGACTGGAGACTTGCCGAGTCTTTGGTAGCTGTCAGCCCTTGTGTTTGTGTGTGTGGTGGTGGTGGGGGTTTGTGATTAGCCCATGATTTCCCCAGATGTTTCCTGCTTTTAGGAAGAAAACTCTCAACTCCCAGGAAATCTCTTCCATCCTGGGAAAAGCAGGGACCATTGGTCACCCTAGTGGGAAAATTTGGGCCACACACATCAGATTGCTGACTGGTTTGTTCCTGCCCTCTGTTTTATCAATTTCCTAGGAGTTTGATGGCTCTACTACCAGAGGTCAGAGTGGTCATGGGTGGCCCCATAGAGCTCCTTCGCTCAGCAGAGAAGGGATATCTCTTCCCCTTGGTTGGGTCAAGTTTTCAGTACCTGCCTAAAGAGCAGCCCAAACCTCAGGGCTTGTGTAGAAAGATCTTTCAGGTGAATCATGTTGCCCCCGTTCTCCAGCTGAAAGGGAAGTGCACACAGCTTACCTGATGCATGGTAATGCTCCCCCTTATCATTTCCCATCCACCCACTTCTGGATCTCCAGGCCCCATGGCTTTGTCTTCAGACATTTACTGAAATATATCAGTAAATATATTTACTGAAATCAGTATATATTTACTGAAATATATACTACTATATCCAAGCACTGTTCCCAGTGTTTCCAGAGCATGTGGAGAAGAGAGGAAAATGGCTAAGGAGTGTGATCAGGGGAATAAGAGATGCCCATCAATAGCATCATCGTGGGAATGATCATGGTCACAAATTCAAGAGTGAGCAGGACTCTTGTGTGACATTCTACAGAGAAGATTGGAAAGTGGGGTGTGGATCTCAGGAGCCTGAGCTTACAGCCAAGGGATAAAAGGAAGGATTGGGCTGGGTCAGGGGCTGGGAAGATGGAGCTGGGAACTTTCTCAATGTCAGTCTCTCTGGTCACCTTTAGAGAAGAGTTTGAATTCTATCCTAGAGAAGCAAGAGCTCTCCGTGGAGCGGCCCTCTAATGCACAGGGAGAAGGGCACTTGGAGGGCTGGTTCCAACATCACAATAAGTACTTGTGGAGCTGGCTGAATTTTAACTCGTGACTCATGCATCTTCAGAACTCAAACACTGCCCCGCTTCATCTCTGAAAATGTTCCATTGGAAATGTACAAGAAGCAGGGCAGTTTGTATGGACAATCCACAAAGCAGACACGTGGAAAAATACTCGTGTTTGCCAGTCATAAAAGAAATGCATATTTAAAGATGAAATGCCATTGTTCCCTCCTCAATTAACAAAAGTGGTCTGAAATTTAAATGCTCTATGCTGCCAAGTATGTGGACAGCGGGGGTGAGTTCATTTCTTTCGGGGGGCAGTCATTTGGTCCCAACATTTATTAATATGTACCAGGAACAAAACTGTACATATGCTATAGTGCTAGCATTTCTACTGTGGAAAATCTCCTACAAGCAAATAATTCAAAGTACAGAAAAATAAACTATTATGTGAAAATGTGATCCCTATATAAAGGCTGTTAAGACAATGAAATATTGACTGTGGCTGTTGTCTTTGGGTGATGGTCTGAGGGGATTTCTTTTCTCTATAGTTTGAAGTTTTAATAATAAGTACATTCATATTTGTGTCTACTAGGGCCTGGGTTTGGAGGAAGGTGTGACCAAAACTCTTCAACCCTGGCTAAATTTCCAGATCACAGGCCATGTGGGACCTCGCCCTCTTCTCTTCCCCTGGAGGAGGCTCCAGACAGGCCTCAGAGACCCAGAGATTTCAAATGAGGAACATATCTCCAGAAAAGGCAAAGCTGCTTCCTTGAGAAGCCGACTCACTGCGTGATAATGGTTGGCTGTAACCCGGACCAGCCAGGACTCAGGGAAGAAGTTAATGTGCCTTAACTCCTCCAGATCCTTGCCTTAGAGAGACACAAGGGGAAGTGGTTACGGGCTTGTTCAGAACACAACTTCAAATGTCTGACTTACAAAGGGAACAGCGGAGCCACCAGGTAAGCAAAGAGGGCTAGTTTCCCTTGAATATTTGCTGATAAACAGGAGGCCAGCAGCCAAGAATCACTATGGCTGTATGCATACCCCAAATTTATTCCTTTTTGCGGGGAGGGGGTTCGAGACAGGGTTTCTCTGTGAAACAGTCCTGGCTGTTCTAGAACTCACTCTGTAGACCAGGCTGGCCTCAAACTCACTGAGATCTGCCTGCGTCTGCCTCCAGAGTGCTGGGATGGAAAGCGTGCACCACTACCACTTTCCCATCCCAAATTTATTCTTAAAAGAAAAAAAAAAAACCTTACAGTACCAAGGAGATAACCCAGTGGGCAGAGTTCTTGCCACTCAAGTGTAAGGATTGGAGTTCTGGGTGGACACCTGTAGACCCAGAGCTGGGGAGGTAGACAGGAGAACCCTGGAGCAAGCTGGCTAGCTAGGCCAGCCCAATTAGTGAGAGACTCTGTCTCAATATATAAGATGGAGAATGATGAGGAAGACACTTGATGTCAAATTCTACATGAACACACAAATGCACATGCTTGCATGCTTACACATATATGGACATGGACACACACACACACACACACACACACACACACACACACACACACACACACAGACTTATACAAAGAAACTTCAAAAGGAATAAAATAATCACTCCAAACTGGAGAGCAATTTCAATTTAATAAGAAATGTCGCCGGGCGGTGGTGGCGCACGCCTTTAATCCCAGCACTCAGGAGGCAGAGCCAGGCGGATCTCTGTGAGTTCGAGGCCAGCCTGGGCTACCAAGTGAGTTCCAGGAAAGGCGCAAAGCTACACAGAGAAACCCTGTCTCGAAAAACCAAAAAAAAAAAAAAAAGAAATGTCTTGTACTATATACTATTTTTTAAAGTTTCAGTTCGCCAGATGTGGTGGCTCATGCCCTTAAGGCAGGTACTTGAGAAGCAGAGGCAGGAGGATCTCTGTGGGTTTGAGGCTAACCTGGTATACACAGTGAGCTCCAGGCCAGCCAGAGCTACATAGTGAGACCCTGTATCAAACAGACAAACACAAAACCAAATAATTCTAGCATTTAAGTTATATTATTTTTAAAGAAACAATCTCAACAACCCTGCCAGAACACATCACTGCCAAATGAGCCTTCATTGGTTCTCAGGAAACTCGTGAACAGAGAAAGTTGACATCAAAGTCTCTGAGTCCGGCCAGGCAGGGCCTTTCCCTTTGAACAGTTCGCCAAGGTTTTTCCACCCTCTTGACATTACTATCAACAAACATTACAGAGGAAAAGGGAAGCAGCGACTTGGGCTGTGCACTGGTCCTATTCAAAACTGCTTCTGGCAGGGCTGGAGAGATGGTTCAATGGTTTAGTGTTCTACTGCTCTCATAGAGGACCTGAGTTCAGTCCCAACACCTACAACAGGTAGCTCATGACCACTGTAGTTCTAGCTCCAGCGGGCTCGATGTCCTCTTTTGGCTTCTGCAGGCAATTTCACCCTCTATCCCATACAATCAAAAATAATAAATCTTTTATTATTATTTTTTTAATCTGCTTCTGACCAGACATGGTGGCACACACCTGTAATCCCAGCACTTGTAAGGTGGAAACAAAAGAATCAGAAGTTTGAGGCCAGTCATAACAAGTTCAAAGCCATCCTGGGTGACATGAGACTCTGTCTCAGAAAACAAAAAACAACAGTCAGTGAGATGACTCGGAGAAAAGGGTGCTTGCTGACAAGCCTGATGGCCTGAGTTCAAATCCTCGGGATTCGTAAGATAGAGAGTCGACTCCTGTGAGCTGTCCTCTGATCTGTTTCTGTTTTTATTTTCCCTGGAGTCCCTAACATGTCCATAAATTACAGAACACATCATCCCCCAGTTCAAGCATTCCAGCGTCCTGGCTGCAGTCCTGGCTGGCCAGGGGCTGGGGTGAAAATGATGTTATCAGTGTCACAAGAGCATCTAGAAGCAGCTTGCCCTGAGCTCCCTGACTCCATCAGGCACTCCCAAGTTTTCAGCTATTACCACATCCCACAGATCTGGGAATGGCTTTGAAATAGTTCTCAAAAGTCCTTCCGGATGCAGCTATCTCACACAGAGTGGCCCTCCTGAGCTGCCCGGAACATATAGGCAATATTTTCCTCCTCTTTCCACATCATGTCACCTTTCCTCCACCCAGAGCATGAGGAACAGGCAACAGAAGAAGTCCCAGCTTAGGACACAGACCTGGCACTTTAGGGTTCATTGGACAATGCCTCTCAAATGTATTCAGATGAAAAAAATGTGCCTCGGGTGCATGCAGTGAAGGAAACATCGAGTTAGTTTGTGGGAAACTGTCCCGGTGTGTGTCATAAGGGGGAATTGAAAGCATTACCCCAAGCCTCTTGTACCACATCAGGTCAGCCAATTAGAAAACCAATAAACGGCAGTGAACTCTTCTGGTCTCATGCTCTGCTCCGTACTCACCGCAGGAGGGGACAGGAAATGAAGTTGAGGTTAATATGCTTAGCCTGAGCATGTTAGAAACCAGAGACGAAGTGGCTCACAGATGGCTGGAGAGGAGAGAGCCAGGCTGGGCTATGCTTTGCAACAAAGTTGGAGCAGAAGTGACTGAGGACTTCTAAAGAACTGCAGTCTAGCTGATAAAGAAGGGGGGGCCACACTGCAGACTCCGGGAAGCCCGCCCGCATTTCCTTATCTAGAGAAGACCGTAAAGCATTTCACCTGCTGGGACAAATGGTTCCAGCAGGTGAAATGCTTAAGAGAGAGCCAGTTTTTCTCCCAAACTGCTAAACAAATGAAGTGACCTAGAAGCTGATCCCATGCAGCAGCAGGTGATTCAATTAGATGCCAAGAGAACATCCTCGGGCTATGAGTGTATTATCCAGCTCAGGAGGTAGAGGGCTTGCTAGCATTCATAACTTGACAGGGTCAGATCCCCAGCACCACATAAACGGAGTGTAGGGAAACATATAATCCTAGATGGGGGTGGGGGGCTTTGGGTGGTGACACAGGCCTGTAATCCCAGAACTCAGGAGGCTAAGGCAGGAATCATCACAAGCGTGAAGCCAGCATTGGCTGTCAACCTGACACACTTGGGAAAAGGGACCCTCAGTTGAAGACTTGCCTCCATCAGATCGATATGTGGGCATGACCGTGGGGCATTTTCTTGATTGCTAATTGATGTAGGAGTGCTCGACCCACTGTGGGTGGTGCCGTCCCTAGGCAGGTGGACCTGAGCCGCATAAGAAAGCTAGTAGAATGTGAACCTGGGAGTAAGCAGGTAAGCGACTTTCCCCAATGGTTCCCTTCTCCCCTTCTGCCCTGACTCCTCTCACTAATAGACCTGGAAGTGGAAGCCAAATATACCTTTCCTTCCTAATTTGCTTTTGGTCATGGTGTTTATCACGACAACAGAAAGCAAACAATGAGAGCCCTTTCTACCCATCATGCGATTCATGGAACTTCTCGGTTAGCCCCCATTTTGCAGCTGGGGTTCCTGAGATGGAAGTCATACATCTCGGAAGTGACAACCCCAGGGAGCATTCCTGTAGCAACATCTGCTGGGGGTTCATCCCAAACAGCCTTCCCATGCATGCAGCCACATGGGTGGTGACACTTACCACTGGTGATGCCGTGCAGACGCAGACACAGGAAGAGTGGTGTCCAGCTCTGCCCGGTATCCTGTTCCAGAAAGCAGCACTTCTTGGGAAAGCTTGGAAGAGAAGAATAGAAAGCCTTCAGAAAACTCCTCTCTGGAAGGAGTGAGCTGCTGAAAGCCATGACCTAGAGACCCAGCAGGGCTAGACAAGGCAGAAGTACGGACGCAGGGACCACTTAGATAATACAAAGAGATGAGTGGTTACGTTCCCCTCTACCTCTGAGCCACAGGCTCACAGGCTCACAGGCTACTTGAGAGGCTGAGGCAGGAGGATGGCATACCACACATGGACTATAGAGTGAATTTGGGTATGTATGCCTAGAACATACATATTAAATGAATGACAGCATCCTATGTCATTCACAGGGGATTTCTCTACATTTCTCCTTTGAGTTTTACAAATCTGTGGAACAGACAAGGTAAGTTCTGTCAGCTCCATCTTACAGAAAGCTGAGACTTGGCTAGGCTTTAAACCCCAGAACTGAACATCTGACTCCTTCACAGATGCTGCGCTTGCACTAAAAACCAAAAAGGCTCTGGTAGTAGCCATTGCTGGTAGAATTAGGAAGAACCTGAGAGCCAACTCTGGATCCCTGGTTTCACTACCAGTTCTGTGATGGCCAGTGTCATTGCTAGTGCTGATTAACTGCAACGCAGGCTGAAGGTCAGGAATGGGTAGAGAAGGTCAGATTCCCAAGGGAAAGATGTTCCCATGGAGGCTCACACCTACCACCCTTGATACAGGGTAATCAGTGAGCTGCCGCTTAAATACAGCCAGATGCAACCACAGCAGGGAAAGGCCAGGCCTAGGGGAAGCGTGTCTTCCTCAAACACAGAAGCCATGAGGTTCCCATTTTGCTACACCGCTTGGAGTGGGAAGGCTACTGGAGGAGACCCAGGGCCGTGACCCTCCCTTTAGGAAGCACTTGGGCAGAAGGACTGTCAGCCAGGCCCTCTCTGGACAACCATCCTGTCTCAGAGAAATGGGGAAGAGCTTTGAGACAAGCACTTGAACTCCATAACCCTGGGAAAGTGGTGAGGACACAGACGGTTAGGGCTAGTCTGAGAGGTTATGGTCAGCTCATCAACCAACCAATCTGGGGGCCTGGAGTCAGGCACACCATAGTCCACTCCTGGCCTGGACACCCATCAGTCATGTGACTGAGCCTGTCTGAGCTTAATTCTCCTCTGTGGAGACAAGAGCCACATGTGTCTCCTATGGTGGATGGAAGAAGCCGAGGTGACAGTGATTGGGAAGTACCAGGCACAGTTGCTGGAACCCAGCAAAGTCTTCTGTGCCTTATAAGTCTTCCCAGGGCTCAGGCATGTTGGGAACATGGAGTTGCTCCTGGTGACATTCATCATCATTGTTATCCAAACTCACAGAGATCCACCTACCTGGTGGCCTCTGATTTTCTAAATTCTCAGAGGGCCTGAGGGGTGTGACCCACACTCTGGAACCAATCCACCTCACTCTTCTCCTATTGCTTGGTGACATCCTCTGACTATGCCACCACACAGGTCTAGCCCAGCACCTTTCTACCTGTCCTGATGGTGATAGCAAACTTCCATCTGATGTCACACAATAGGAGCAGGTGGGCTGCCTGGCTGGGGACCTCCTGCCTGGCTGTGCTGACGGATTCCAGGGCTTGTACAGCTTGTCTGCCCAGCCACAGTGCTCTGTCTGTGCATAGACCTCATGGATGGCTCACTACTTTTCAGGAACAAACTGTCTAAAGTTCCTCAACCCTCAAGGATTGGACCCCTCAGGGAAGACAGTTCCTGGAAACTCCAACACAAACTGGTCACTTCTGGGTCCTGCTTTCAAGGTGTACTCTCCCCAGACCTCCTGAAATGTGGTGCTGGAGGCAAATCCCCTTCTGAGGTCACAGACTGCAATTTTTAAGACCATTCCAGCCACAATTTTCTCACTTTCTTCTTCCCACCATCTGCTGGGGACAGTGTCCCTTCCTGGTGGTAAGTGTGAGGCTCACAGCTCTACTGGCCCTGCATTTTACACCTGAGCCATGAGGTCCAGGCCTGAGGATTCCGACATGCGCTGTTCGGTAGAAGAATCTAATATTATACCTGGGTGTATTAGCTACTTGTTTGTTTGTTGCCTGACAGAAGCATCTGAAGGGAGAAAAGGTGGTTTTTTGTTTTATTTTGATTTTTTTCCCCTCACAGCTTCAGAGGGATTTCGGTCCCTCATAGACGAGAAGGCATGGTGGAACCACTCTCTGTGGGCAGCAATCTGTGGTAGAGATGTCTCATATCCTGGTAGGCCAGGAAGCCAAGAACACAGGCTGGAACCAGGGTCAGGTGTGACCTTCATAGACCAGGTACTTCTGCTAGTCAGGACCCACCTCTTAAAGGTTCTACAGCCCTCAGGAGAGCACTGCAAAAAAACAAGCCAGAGTCACAGGCCTGTAACTCAGGCTACCTGAGAGGCTGAGGCAGGAGAATGACAAACCATACAAGGACTACAGAGTTAGTTCTGGCCAGTCCGAGTAACTTAGTGAGACATTATCTCCAAATTATAAGTTAAAAAAAGGGCTGGGATTACAGCACAGTGTTCTGGTGCACACCAAGCATACGTGTGACACTATGTCCCATGTGCATGTGCACACGCGTGCCACACACACACACACACACACACACACACACACACACACGCCACACGCTGGGGACCGAGTATTTAAAACATGAGCCTGTGAGGGCGTTTCAGATCCAAACTATAGCACCGCAGACACCAAGAACTACAATTTCTGCTCCTTCAGGAACCAGATCAGTCAAGTCTGTAGAGAACGGAGGCGAGGAAGGAGAGGGCTTAGGCTAATGAACATAAAGTTTCAGTTTGCCAAGGCAACAAAGTTCTGAAGATGGTTCATGATGCCACTAAAGTGTAGACAGAAGAAAGTTGAAAACGGCAAATTGTATGGCGAGTACATTTGACCACAATTTAAAAAAAAAAGATTTAAGGTTTCAGAATTATTTCACTTATTTGAGAAGTATTTGAACCCCCCATACACATAAATAAATAAATTATATATATATAGGTTTTTTTTTTCTAGACTTTCTCTGGGTAGCCCTGGCTATCCTGGAACTCACTATATAGACTAGGCTGCCTCTGCCTCCCAAGTGATTAGATTAAAGGTGTGAGCCGCCACCACCACCCTGCAATAAATAATATTTTAAATGGACTTGGAAGTTTCCTGCCTTGTTCATGATCAAGTATATGGGTTTTACCAGCTGTTTGCTTAGTTTCTGTCAACTTGACACAAACTAGACTCACTGAGGAAGAGAGAACTTCAGAAGAGGAAATCACCTCCATCAGACTGGCCTGTAGGCACATCTGTGGGACGTTTTCTTGATTAACAGTTGATGTGAGAGCACCCAGGACACTGTGGGCAGTGCCACACCCCTGGGTAAGTGGTCCTGGGTGGTGTAAGAAAGCAATCCAGACAAGCCAAGCTAGTAAGCAGAGTTCCATCATGGTTTCTGCAATGGCTTCCTTCCATGACGGCCTATACCCAGAAGCTAAAATCAACCCCTCTCTCTTCAGGTTTCTTTGGGTCTGCGTTTTACCACAGCAACAGGAAAGCAAAGGAATGTAGCAGCTTTCCTGAATTCTTCAGTAGGTGGGATGGAATGGGAGCTTTTCCTCAGTGGAGAAAAGCATTAGCTTTGTTTACATATTCTTTCCTATAAGGAGATGTTAAGATTTATTCTGGACAGCCTGGACAGCTTGTCTGCTTTTCCAAAATAATCACTTGGAAGAAACAGCCTGTAAGGTGCCAAGGTATGTGTGTCTGTCTGTCTGAGTGCTCATGTGTGGGTGTATAAAAGTATGTGTGCACATGTGTATGCAGGTGTGTGTGTTGCATGTGTGTGTTCACATGTGTGCTTGTGTAGGAGCGCAGGCTGCCTTCCTTCACCGGTGTACGTAGCAATAAAAGCACCGGGCTGAATCGAGGGGCCTCCCATCAGTGTCCCAGGCACATGGGACACATTCAGGAAGTATTTGGTGAGTGAATGAAACATTTTGTAAAGGTCCATGAGGGAAAGAAAATGGAGCAGAAATGGCTCAGACATAAATATCTACATTTGCTTCTAGCATTTCTTCAGATGAGGCTGGAACAGGTGAGAAGGGAGCTATGTGACTGTGGTTGTTGGTTACTATTCTTAACCTCCTTAAGGATGCCTAGCCAGCCAGACTGCTCCTGCAGCTGTAGCTCGGCCTCCTGGTAGGCTACACATCCTTGCTCTCTAGTATTCATGCAGCTTGTCTCACTGTGGCCACATTCGAACAGTCTCACATAGGAGGTCCCCATAATGTGCGGTCCTCAGTGTCCACTCTATTTCTTCTCAAGAAGAAGGCTTAAGTTCACTGTCATTCAAATGATTTCACCAGTATGTTCACTGTCCCAGTAGAAGATGCTATCCTCACTGCTAAGGTTGGGCCAGTGAGATGACTTCAATACAGGCGAATATCAGTCCCAAGGAAAATTGAAGGAGCTAGGGTTTGGGGTGATGTTGAGTGGCTAGAAGTTTGAGGTTCGGGGTCAAATGTGAGTCAGTATGCTGAGAAGTGTCTATGTGCACTACACACTGGGAAGAAGGCCCACGGGCCAGCTCCATGAAGCCCATCCTTGGTGGAGGGGCCCACACTTCAACTCCCTTCTAGTACATTTTCCTCACACCTTAACCACAGCTCCAATGAGTCACTACATGATAGCTCACTCCCTATCTCCCCATGCGAAGACAAGAGCTGACCTGCAGCCAAGTGGTAATTTTCCCTGGTGGGCATGACTCATTGGAAAGAGTGTCTCTGGGATATTAAAAGAGGTGGGAGGTGGGACTAAAACATTTGGGTTCCAAGCAAATTATATAGAAACCGAGCACAGCACACACAATTCTGCCACGAATAATGCTTTCCCCAAATAACAAGACAAGAAAAGAGCAGGCTTTGCCGTTAGCATGGTGCCCAGATGTTCCAGGAATGGATGAGGTGTTTCAGGACAATCCAGATGAAACTTGGCTCAAACAGGTCAATTTGCTCATTAATATGCGAAGCCATACTTATCTGCTAAGTTCCTGTGTGCAAAGAACATGCCTCATCGTGTCAAGAGGTCCCAATTTCTGTTCCTACAGGAACATGGGCCAGAGAAGAAAGCAAGGTTGCCCGTGGCTTCCTTTCTGGAACAGACTCTTTAAAGCTACTTGGGATAGTCTTTGGCTACAGGGTCACCACACTCACCCATGTCTTGGATGATACGAATGTAATTTCACATTTAATATAGAAGTGTTATGGTTTGCTCTTAAATACTCTCCCTGCGCTCATGTGGTAGACTTGGTCACTAGGGATGGAGAAGCCTTCAGGTTTGGGCCTCGTGGGAAGAAGTGAGACCTCCAGTGCTGCTCTAGGTGGGATATTACGACCCTAATCCTTTCTTTCTTTTTGCTTCCTGGTCACCATGAAGTGAGCAGCTTTGCACCCCCTATCATGTTCGGTGTCAACACAAGCCCAAAGGTCACAGAGCCAGTCGACCATGCATTGAAACCCTTGCCCCTGAGCCAGAAGAGACCTTAACTCGGGGAAATGGCTCAGTGGGTAAAGCGCAAGCATGAGGACCTGAGTTTGGATCCTGAGAACCCATGAGAAGCCAGGCGTAGTAGTAGCACGTGTGCCTGTAACCCAGGGCTCCTGTGGTGAGGTAGGAGACAGAGACAGGAGAATCCCCAGAAGTCCGATGGCCAGCTAACCTGTTGCAGCTAACAGTAAACAAGAGACTGTGTCTCAAACAGGGTGGAAAGTGAAGACCAACACCCAAGGCTGGCCTTGATGTGTGTTCTGTGGCACACACATCTCCACACACACCACACCCATGTGTGCTTGTGCATGTTTGTACACACACACACACACACACACACACACACACACTACACATACATACACATGAGAGAGAGAGATATTAAAACAAACAGGAGCCTTTCAGAATTGTGCAGATAAACAGAGGTAATGAATAGGAAGTTTTCTTGGGAGTGCCCAGTAAGATACTCCCAAAGGGCACTCAGTATTATTACTCTAATTATTAGTTTTTACTTGAATGTTGAGATACACTAATTTTTAGATCATTTAAGTTTAGAGACTATAAGAAACCAGATTCATGCTAGGAAACTTCTGCACATTCAAATGCTTTTCATTTTTTCAGAAAACTCAGAATTTTATATGCTATCTAAAAAAGTATAAATGAAAACATCTGGCCTGATGTTTTAAGATCAGTGTAGTATGGTCATTTTCCTGAACTGTTACCTTCTGCATCATGGTTGTGACTGGGCACACCAGTTCCCCAAGCGTGTGGCTATCTCATAGCCAAACATCTGTGTGCGATCAACTCTTCTAAGTGGTTTGAAGCATCCTGTCACCACAGGCTTCAGCCTATGCTCTCCAGATGATGTTAATGAAAATTATATTACTGACCTTTTTTTCCCTCACAATATTTTAAGCAAAATAGATAGCCATAGGGATAGCTCAGTGAGTAAAAGTGCTTGCCACCAAGCCTGACGACAACCTGAGCTTGGGCCCCAGGGACTCACACAGTGGAAGGAGAGAACTGACTTCTACACGTTGTCCTCTGACCTCCCTGTGCATTTGGTGGCATGCACACCCACACCATAAATAAGTACATGATTCTTCAATTAATTAAAATGCTTTAAACCAAGATACATCCAATTTATTGATCAACGTTAAGGTGCATTACCTGCTAAAAAATGCCAGCATGGTCTCGTGGATTGGAATCATCTGGACCTTGCCGTTCAGCTGCAGGTAAACCCACATGAGTAAGGTTTTCAGGAGATGGAACTCACTAAAGGTGAACAAGCTGGTCAAAATGACAGATGGAGAAGAAATGTTAGGACGAGGAGGGAAAAGCCACTTGTAAGAAAAAGAAAAGATAAAAATAAGTCTGGGGGTGGGACACAGCCAGCCGGAGTCTGTAAGTGGCCTCAGACAATGAGATGCTGAGTCACTTGTTTAGGGTGACTCAGCTCAGCTGAGGGAGAACTAGGAACCGGAGGCTGGGCCCTGAGCCCTCAGCCACCTGCCATGCCGTTACTGACATGATGTCCTCATTTGGGGAGCTCTCACTAAATGCTGTGTTTTCAAGTCATTATAGGTTCTACTGTAATCCCATAGCACAAGCCTATGAAATTGAGATAGACGTGCCTGGCTTTGATAGCTGTTGAAGTTGGTCCTAGCCTTGTGTTTATTTAGCATTTCAATTTGTGTTCATTGTGACTCTTTGCATTTATTTTAATTTTGATACATTGCACACAGATACTTGATAAGTTAGGCTATTCAGTCAGCCATTATCCCTTCTTGCCTGCTAAATTTTGCAGCCAAAGAGAGTGTCTCATTGGCCTCACTGGACCTTGGCCTGGCTTGAGGCTGAAATGAATAACTTATCTCAGGTTACACTGTTCTGGGCTCAGACCCAGGCATGGGTCTGGAACCTCTGGGACAGGGCTGTGATCCCTCAGCTGTGAAAAGGCAATCCTAGCCACTTCTCAGAATGGCAGTGGTGAAGACCAGAGGAGAGGACTCACTGTGTAAGTGTCCAGCTGTTGCTGTAACTGTCACAGGGCAGCTTAAGAGGACACACATTCATCATGGTTCTCTGGAGGTCAGAAGTACGAAATGGAGCTCACTGGGCTCTGATCACGGTGTGAACAGGATCAGTTAGTCCTTCCTGGAGGCTCTAGGGAGAGTTTTCCCCTGCCTGTCTTGGCACCTGGAAAGCTCTATCATCCCCTGGCTTTGGCCCCTTCTTTGGCCGAGTCAGCAACGCAGCATCTTCTGATGGCCTCTGCCTCCGACTCTTCCCTTTCACACATGGTAAGAGCCTTCCTGTGACACGCTGGGCTGACCCCATGCCCCAGGGTAGCCTTGAGTTTTGAAGTCAGCCAGTTAGCGTTTTTTCATTCTACCTGCAACCCCAACTCACCTTTGTCATGTCAGAGTTCAGAGGTTCTAGGGATTATGTGGGCATCCTTGGGGGCCATTACCGTGCTGACCACACACAGATAAAGTACTTAGGACACTGCCCGGCACAGGACAATGTGCTCAGCCACGGCAGGCCTTACTCGAAGTGGCAGCGATGGCTCCTGACTCTAGAGCCCATGCTGTGGCTACAGCAGCGAGAACCCACAATGTCACATGGTGTGGTGACACACGCCTTTAATCCCAGCACTCGGGAGGCAGAGGCAGGCGGATCTCTGTGAGTTTGAGGCCAGGCTGGTCTGCAGAGTGAGTTCCAGGACAGCCAGGGCGACACCGTGAAAGCCCACCACATCCAAAGCCACTGCAGCCCTCTCTAAGGCCTCAGGCTTCTGCTGACTCGACTAGCAAAGGAACTGTTTCAGCACTTCTTAAACCCACTGATATTTCTGGTGTCAGACCCTGGGCACAGCTCCTGGCTGGGAAACATGTCATAGTCTCTTCATTCCTCACCTGAAATGGTCATAGTAGGTGGAAACCGGGCCAAATCGTGTCTCTAAAGAGCAATGCAAATGCAACCCTCCCACCTCCCACTCTATTTCTGGACACTGCTTCATTCCTTGTGTTTGTCTCCAGGCCACCTACAGGTGCACTGTCTTGAGTCTGGCCAGACAGAACCAAGTTGGTCACTGTCTGGGTCACAGCAGCAAGGCAGGAAAGGGAGGTGCTTCTTAGAGGCAGATGCCACGTCCCCATAGAGAATTTAGGCAGCTGGGTCAGGGGGGGCTGACTGTGTGGCTTCTAGAGGAGATGCTACACATGTCAAGTCTAGAAAGTTTCTGGAGACCTTTCCACGTCAGAAGTAACAAGAGGGATGATCTGATTCCATCACTCAGGTCCTGGCTTTTATTACGACATTTGCTGAAGGTGAGGTCTCTGCATTTAGGACAACATCAGTCTCTAAAAGCATTTCCAGCCATATCCAAGCTGAAGCCCTGCATGCCACATGGATCCCAGGAGAGTAATAGATACATCTTGATATAAAAATCATAAACTTATTGAAAGCATTGTGAGATTTTGTTTTTGTCTTTTTTTTCTTTTGTAATTTCATTGCACGCTCCTTGAACATTGTAGATAACAATGCTGTCTCAATGTCAGCTGCATGTGACGTGGCAGAATTAACCCCTGCAGGAAGTAACCACAAGGAGAACATTGGCACACACTTTGAATTAATCCAAGAGCTTTGGAGACTTCAGTGCAGATGGAACTCAGGCTTCTACCCGGCCCTATGCATTTTCTCTGGTATTCGCTTGCAGCCACCTCGATGTGACCGATACTTGTTCTTTAGGAGAAAATCGTCATCATGCACAAGACACTGTCTTCTTATTCTGTTTTTCAAGGAAATTGCTGTGCATAAACAATAAACCTCCTTTCTGAACACTGACCGTGGAGAAAGCCACGCCCACGTGAACAGGCTACGAACAAGGACATCCATTACTGCTCTGTGTGTCATAGCAAAAAGACTAAATAAAATAAAAGGCCTTTAGAAGAGGAATGAAAAGAGACGGTTGTGGATTTATTCCATAGAACCCTGCACAGAACTCAGAATTAGAAAATCTGATTGAATACATCAGCATGGGTTGAGAAGGAGCACAGAGCCTGGCCTCAGTGAGTAGGTCATGGTACCGCCCTACCACTACAAGACGCTGATTTGCAAGACAATATAATCTGTTATTCTGGATGTACAAGTATGCAGATAGAGTTCACACATATGACTGGGGGTCCCTACAAGCACCTACTACTCAGCAATTTATTTCTTAATTTATGACAAAATGTTACTATTTATTCATTTAAAGCAGTGAATGTATTGTTTTCTGTATAAAAATTTGTCCAGTAAAATGGGCCAGAGGGATGTCTGAGTTAACATTGCTGTGGGATATTGTTCTATATGCTGTGAATGTGTTGCTCTGATTGGTTGATAAATAAAATGCTGATTGGTCAGTAGCCAGGCAGGAAGTATGGGTGGGATAGGGCATACAAGGAGAATTCTGGGAAGAGGAAGGCTGAGTCAGGGATCACCAGCCAGACACAGAGGAAGCAAGATGACAAGGCAGAACTGAGAAAAGATACCAAGCCACACGGCTAAATATAGATAAGAATTATGGGTTAATTTAAGTGTAAGAGCTAGTCAGTAATAAGCCTGAGCAAATAGCCAAGCAGTTATAATTATTATACTGTGTATTTACTTTGGGTACACGAGTGGGAAAGATTTGTCCCAACCACCGACCGGCTGGGACACAGGAAAACTTCCAGCTACAAAACATAATATAAAATTTTAATGTTTTTAGTAAAAAACAGTAAGATGAGCATCCTTATTGATCTTGACCACCGGTAAGAGAACTGGTTTCATAGGTATATTAGAGTCTGGGGACAGCCATGGCTCAAAGGGAGTTGTAACCTGGGTTCAAATCCAGCTCACCGGCTGTGTGGGGTGGTGGAGGGGAAACACAGCTTTGACTAATCCTTCATTTCCCATGCTCTAAATCTCACAGGTGAAAACTGTAGATGAAAGGACCCAGCACATCGGGTTGCTGGGGGAGGAACCCTCTGGATACCCACTTAGAGTGTTCTGTGTTTGACAAGTGCTCAATAATTGGTAGGCATTGTTCTTGTTTGCCAGAGAAGGACCAGCTTCAGAAATCCCATGTGGGACTGCTCAGCATCACACACTCTGTCAGAGTGTGGGACAGGTTTGACAAGGATGACAGGTGTCTTTTTTTTTTTTTAAACAATATTGTGTGTGTGTGTGTGTGTGTGTGTGTGTGTGTGTGTGTGTGTGTGTGTGTGTGTGTGTATGTGTGCATTCCATGGGGTATGTGAGTATAAGTACACATGTGTTCTGATCTATGTGAAGCCAGAGAACAGGTATGGGTGCTCAGCTCTCACCTTCCACCTTGTTGAGGCGTTAGCTCCCTTGTTTCTGCTGCAGCCTGTACCCCAGGCTAGTCCTTGAGCTTTTAGGCCTCCACCACCCATCTCATAGTTGGAGTGCTGGGATTACAGATGTGCAAACTACCACATCCAGCTTTTTACTTGGGCTCTGGGGATGGAACCCAGGTCATCAGGCTTGCACAGCAAACACTTTTTACCTGCTAGGTCACCTCACTGTGTCTTTTGTTTAGGGAATTCCCAGGATTCTGAGCTTCCCTGGGCCACAGATAGGAAGCAGGGCATCTTGGAAGGCGGCTAGGCTCACCGCTATACCACCAACGGAGAGGAAGCAGAGGATCATGGGAAGAGAGGAACTGGACCTCCTGTTGTAGGTACCCTTCTGTGTAGATGGGAGCGGGATTGTCCTTGGGGCTTCCAGGAACACAGAACTTGGAACGAGGCTTTCATAAATTAGGGTTCGTAGAACAAGGCTCACCTGGTGGTGACCTCTACAAGGAAAATGAACGGAGAACCACATTCTAGGCAAACAAATTAAGCCCAGAGGCCCAGGAGGTCAGGAAAACAGTGTATATTTGTATATAGTTTGCAAAATGGAAAATAAAACCAAAAAAAGACGAGGTCAAGGTCCAGGGACTTTTAGAGAGGAAATGCTGGACAGCCCAGAGGTAGAGGCTTCTGCTGAGAAAGGCTATTGATTCTTGTGCCTTTCTCACAGGCTGGGGTAAAGTGACAGTGGGTAGCCGGCAGGTCAGCTGAGTGGGGCCTGGAAATGCTCTACGCCCGGCTGTTTGTGTGTGTGTGTGTGTGTGTGTGTGTGCATTCCATGCTTCCTGCTCCGGGCTCACACAACCTCTCAGGACACATAGCCCAGGCCTGGTTTACCTCTTTCTGAGAGGCCTCACTCCCATGATGAATAGGAGAGGGTATCATGTTGGAGGCAGGATGTGGGCCCAGGAGCCCGCAGAGGCCCTGCCCAGCTCTCCATCAGCTGTCTGCTCTAAGAGGTGTTGACTTCTGTCGTGCCAGGTTGGGGGTGCTGAAAGGGTGAACATGCAGTACAGCACTTGGTGAACGGGCTCGGTTACTGGAGGAGGTGTCCCCTCTTGATTAGAGGTGGACAGTGGTGGTGCCTACCCTTCTCAACGAATGCCCTGACAAGAGACCCTCTGGCCTGGCTACATTCCTTTCTTATTTCCTTTATACGTATATGCATGTGTGTGTAGAGGCCAGAAATTGATATTAACTGTTTTCCTCAATCACTCTGCCTCATTTTCTGAGAGGGCCTCTCACTGGCCTGGCGCTCACTGACTGAACTAGGCTGGATGACCGCTGGGTTCCTGGGATCTGTCTGACTCTACCTTCCCAGCGTGGGATTGCAGATGGCAGCTGCTGTGAGGCCAGTGGCCACTCAAGACCGAGCTCAGCTTAAGAGGAAGTGAGGAGTCTGGGCTGCCTGAGTCTTGGTCCACTTCAGGCTGTGTGAGCTGAGGATGTAGGCCCTCAGGCAGGAAACCCCGGCCTAGCCGCACGGGTGCCTCCTGCACAGAGCCAGAAGGACAGGACCCAGTTTCCACCTCATGTCTGCCAGGTTGGCGAGTCTAGACATTTGACACGTAATGCTCTGGAACTATTTTCCTGCCTGGTGAGCATGTTGTCAGGCCTGGGTCATCACCGATGTTCTGGCTGTGGTCAGATGGTTTTTTTTTTTTTCCCCCTCTTTTTCAGTGAAATGTTACCACTGTAGGACAGCTCAGCCTTTCCAAGGGAGGGATGGGTGGTGTTATGTAATGTCTAAGGACGCCATGTTTACACGTTCTTCAGTTTCCTGACCTTTGCTGTGTTGGAGGGTGGAGTGGAGGGTGGTGGGTACAAGAGTAAGAAAAACATAGGGAACCAGAGCAGAGTGTCTGGGGCCCACCAGTGCAGAGTGTCTGGGGCCCACCAGAGCAGAGTGTCTGGGGCCCACCAGTGCAGAGTGTCTGGGGTCCACCAGAGCAGAGTGTCTGGGGCCCACCAGAGCAGAGTGTCTGGGGCCCACCAGAGCAGAGTGTCTGGGGCCCACCAGAGCGGAGTGTCTGGGGCCCACCAGAGCAGAGTGTCTGGGGCCCACCAGTGCAGAGTGTCTGGGGCCCACCAGAGCGGAGTGTCTGGGGCCCACCAGTGCCCTGCGGCTCTTGAACTGGCTTCTGGGATCTTCCCTGATAATGGTGTCCCTCAATACCAGGACTCTGCCTTGCTGCCCTCCTTCCTCTGTTCATTTGAGGGCATTGGGTGTCATTTAGTAAATCTAAATTGTAGAATAGGTTAATGATCCAGCATGGAGCAACACACACACACACACACACACACACACACACACACACACAACACACACACACACAGGCCAACTGAGGGAATCAGGTGTCCTCTTCTTCTATTGCCGTCTGCCTTATCCCTTTGAGGCAGGGTCTCTCCCTGACCCTGAAGCTCACATTTTTCTTCTAGCTTGGCAGCCAACAAGCCCTAGCAATCCCCCCATCTCTACCACCCCCCAACCCTGGGGTTATGGGCACACATGGGACCATGCTCAGTTTGTTATGGGGTGCTGGGATCTGAACTCAAGTCCTCGTGGTTGTACAAGAGGCATTTTTACGCATGGCACCATCTCTGTGGCCCTTTTTTTTTTTTTTTTTTTTTTTTTTTTTTTTTTTTTTTTTTTTTTTGGTTTTTCGAGACAGGGTTTCTCTGTGTAGCTTTGCGCCCCTGGAACTCGCTTTGGAGACCAGGCTGGCCTCGAACTCACAGAGATCCGCCTGGCTCTGCCTCCCGAGTGCTGGGATTAAAGGCGTGCGCCACCACCGCCCGGCTTCTGTGGCCCTTTTATACAGAATTTCTAAAAATCAAGATACTTTCTACCACATAAGCACAACAAACATTTGTGATTTTTAATTTTACTACTAAATATTTCTTTAAAGTAGAATATGATTCCCACCTTTGAAAGTCACCCAAAGGGAACATGTCTTTAGAAAATGTCCGTGAGTACCAAGAGTTGTCTAAAAAGAGACTTGATGTTCTAGGTGCCTTTCTGATGCTGTGATATAACACTGTGACCAAAAACAACTCAGGAAAGGAAAGGGCTTATTTCAGTTGACACTTCTAGGGCACAGTCCATCCGCGAGGCAAGTGAGGACAGGAACTCAAGCATGAACCGAAGCAGAAACCATGGGGGAACACTGCTTATTCTCTCTCTCATTTGCTCTCTCATTCTCTTTCTCATTCTGTCTCTCTCTGTCTCTCTCTCTCTCTCTCTCTCTCTCTCTCTCTCTCTCTCTCTCTCTCTCCCCCCTCCCTCCCTCTCCCTCTCCCTCTCCCTCTCCCTCCCTCACTCTCCCTCACTCTGGTTCATGCCCAGCTAGCTTTCTTAGACAGCCCAGGTCCATTTGCCTAAGGGGCTGGGCTCTCCCCACATCAGTCAAGACATTGGCCACAGACATGGCCATAGGCCAGTCTATCCTGTGCGGTTCCTCAGTTGAGGTCCCCTGTTCCCAGGTGACTGTAGGTCATGTCGAGTTGACAATAAAAATTAACCAGCACACTTGACAACTGAGTATAATATGTGGTCTTAAACTAAACTTTGAATTAGAGGGAGAGGAAATAATATTACTGGGTCAGTGATATCCAAGTATCATGCAAATGGCAAGCTTCCTGAAGATAACTGCCTTGTCATCATATGTTTTAAAAATCCTCTTTCTTGAGGCTGGGGGGATGGTTCACAGGTTAAGAGTGCTGGCTGCTCTTCCAGAGGTCCTGAGTTCAATTTTCAGCAACCACACAGTGGCTCACAACCATCTATAACTGTAGTCCCATGGGTCCGATGCCCTCTTCTGGTGTGCAAATGTACATGCAGACAAAAATACCCCTATTTATAAAATACGTAAATAGAGAAATCTTTAAAAAAAAACAAACAAACAACTCTTTCTTAGGAAACCATCTCTGATGGCATTTGGGGTGAAGGAGCACTTGTACATAGCTTACTCCAGTTCAGAGGTGTGTGTGTGTGTGTGTGTGTGTGTGTGTGTGTGTATGTGTGTGTGTGCAACTAATGCAAACAGAGCAGGGACAGAACTCTAGGGTGGGTAACTCAGGGCAAAGGGTGTACCAGGGAGTGACAGTGGTTTGATTGAGTTTTTCTGCTCTGTGATGGTGTAAAAACCATCCACATTCAGTAGAAAGCAAGGTTCAAATTTTGATCTTTTTCTCGAAGAGTGTTAAGTGTGGTGTGGTCCTTTCTCACGATGTTGGGTGACCATCCTGGTATGGCAGTCCTATCAGCCACGAGATCACAGCAGTGAACACTAGACACCCTACGGTGGCCATATGGCTGGGCTGTGAGGTCAGGGAAATTAGAGGCATCCCAGTGCATCTTCACCGTGGGCTGTGCTTAGCTGAAGATGGCTGTAGACAGAGGTAAACCATTGCAAACCGAGGAGCCAATGTTCTTTCCACTATTCTTGTTTCTCCTGAAGTTTGAAATTTTCAAATAAAATATGTTTAAAAGAGGAACTGAAAACAGTCCTTTCATCTCGGCAATTTCATTTCTAGAGGTATAACATAAGGAAATAATCTGAGATGAAGAAAAATACGCACTGAAGGCCAGTTACTAAGATGCCAATGTTGGTAAAGCATCAGGAATCAGCTAAAAGCCAAGAACTGGCCATGACTCCATCAACAGCCAGAGAAAGAAGGAGACAGAGCTTGACAGGACAGGACAGGGATTTCAGGCAGCAGGAAGCGTGCACAGTGTGGCTACACCTCTGCAGAGAGTCCGAGGAAGGCTATGTCACACCAGAAGATGGTGCAACTAGATTTACTTTGTAGAGATCAAAGCCAGAGCAAGATCCACATTAGAGGTGTCTCATTAGAGGGCCTTGCCACAGGCCATGATGATGGAGGCCTGGCCTTGGGGTGGCACTGGCACGCTGGAGTGCTCAGTTTGGAAACAGAATTGGCCTCCTGAGGTCAAAGCGGTGTCCAGAGGACTGCCAAGGTTCTGCTGTGTTCTGAGGACATTGAGCCTAGAGAGGGGTGTGCAGCAAGAGCTGTGGGCTCTGAAAGTTGGGATATTTGCCTTTAACAGAGAAGCCAAACAGGCAGTGGATATCCAGGTTTAGAAATAGTCAGTAAAGGAGTAAGGACTAGAGACAAAATCTTGTTTGGGGTGAGAAATTTTTCTTCTCTTTTTCTGCCTTTCCTTGTTTTCCGTAATTAATGTAAAAGAATATTGTCAAACTTTTTTCTTTTCTTTTCTTTTCTTTTCTTTTCTTTTCTTTCTTTCTTTCTTTTTCTTTTTCTTTTTTTGAAATAATGGCCTAAGCAACAGTTCTTTGCTTTTCTGGCCTCGGCAGGTAAGGAGACAGCTGACAGCAGCATATCTTACCTAGAAGGAGCATAAAGGACCTGACCCCACATGTGATACCCCAAGCTTCAGCTCCCATCCAAGGCCTAATTGTCCAGGAGAGTGGAGAATTGGGAACTAAAGGTCGAGTCCACAGCGATGTAGGTGTGCACACTACTGGCATATCTCCTCCCTGCCCCCACCCCACCCCACCCCAGCCCCTGTTTCTTCCCACACCCTCCCTGGAGGCAGCACACCAGCTCTGACCTGGGAGACTTCAGCACCTTGTGCAGCAGATGCTGAGGGATGTGCCGGAGGTGGATCTGTGTCCCGACTAGAGGTACCAAGTTCATTGCCAGCCACTTCTCGCAGGAGACAATGAGCTGCTCTTCCATGTACTTAGGAGGCAAAAGAGAAAGCGGTTGGATAAAGCATGGCTGGTTCTCAGCCCCCTCTGCTGGCTTGTGGTGACATTGCATGCAGATGTGTCCCATTTTCATACAAACTGCACTGGGGTCAGCACAGGGGGGGGCGGGGTGGGGAGTAGGGTGGGGGAAGGTGGGGAGTGTGGAGGGGTGGGGTGGTGGAGGGTATTCACAGAGTATTGAACCTCGCTGATTTAAACCACCCCTATGAGGTCGGCTCCCAGTTATCCCTGTGTCACCAGTGGAGAAACTGAGGTTCCACGGTGCCTTCTCTTTCTGTAATCACAGAGTAACTGGTCCAGCTACTGTTCAGGCTGCCTGAGCAGAGGCTTGTATGCTGAAGGCCCTGGGCTGCCTTCAATGACCCACTGCAAGTCTGGGGAGGAATAAGCCACATGGAGCTCAGAGGCTGCTCCAACATACATTTTAGAAGAAAGAATTAAAAGACAGGACCTGCAGGGGAGGTGGGCACACGGTCCCACCCAGGAAGCTATTGGCCATTGATAGCTGCTGGAGAGAGTGTTTTTAAATCCGTGGCCCCTATGTGAATATGAAAACGACTCCTAGAATCAGGGAGATCTTGGAAGGATCTTGGCTGACCTTGTGTGTCCTAAAGGACCTTGCGTGTCCTGAGGACACGGGCTGAGAGGGTCTGGGCAGACCTTGCATGTCCTGAGGACATGAGTTTTTCTGGACTAAAGACTTGCTGAGAAATGATAACCAGAATGCAAGGGTGTCACCAAGAGTGACACTTTCTAGTCCCATGGAGTGACTCTGGGAACCAGATGGTTCTTGAACAAACACTGAGGGTCTTTCTTAGGTATAGTATCACAACATGCTGGCTATGTGGGAACTGTTGCCCTGACGTCTCATAGTGAGCCACTAGTCAGTGAGTGGGAACTTCAGGGCAGGGGTTAGAATTAGGAGATAAGGCTTGGGAATCAGCACTGGCCTTCAGCACTTAGTACCCTGAGTAGTTTGTATCCCTCCTCAGGTCCATTGTCCACTGATAACAAGAGCTGCATTGCCGGGCGGTGGTGGCGCACGCCTTTAATCCCAGCACTCGGGAGGCAGAGCCAGGTGGATCTCTGTGAGTTCGAGGCCAGCCTGGTCTCCAAAGCGAGTTCCAGGAAAGGCGCAAAGCTACACAGAGAAACCCTGTCTCGAAAAACCAAAAAAAAAAAAAAAAAAAAAAAAAAAAAACAAGAGCTGCATTGCATTACTGTTCCCAACACTGACACACTGATTGGACCCAGGTGGGACGAGAGCTCATGGTCCCATCTATGTTCCAGAAGGTATTTACTCCCTTGGTGAGAAAAGTCATGCTAGAAACTGTTCTCAAATCCCAAGATTAAGGTTTTTCAAGCTATTTTCTTGTTCATGCATTTTTAAAAAATTAATTTTTTTTTTACACTCTTAAGTATTTCTACTTTTGAGTAGGTGCTTTTGAGTAGACATATTGGAGTTAGGCCCAGTGGATGACATCCAGGAGCTGGGTGCTTTTGAAACCCTGGCACCCCAGGGCCCACATACTCCACCCAGCTGGTCTCACCTTGCAGCCAGCCAGATAGAAGTTCTTGACGGTGCACGGTGTGAGTCTGGACAACATCATGTTGACACACCTGTGGAGAGAGAGCTGCTGATACTGACGACTCCCACATGCCGTCAGAGAAGGTGGGGACAGAGACTTTGGTCCAGCGCTAGGGTGGCGGCAGAGACCTCTCACTGGGAAGGGAGCCCTTATTTTAGGAATTTGAACAAAACCAGCAGGCCTGTTATAAGAGCTCTGGGCTAAGGGAGGGAGGTGAGGCCAGAAGGAGCTCAGGCTCCTCAGAGGGCCACTGAGCAGCCTCTTCGGCAGAGAGTAGCACCATGGCCTAGAGCCAGAGAAGTTTACCAAGATGGCCTCTGGGTGCCCTCCCGCCCAAGGCATTTTCTTCCTGACACAATGCTAGGTGACTTCAAACGTTATTGCTTTCTGTCCACGGACAAGTTCCAACAGTAACTTTCTGATGAATACCTCAGTTCTTTCTCATAACTAGGCCTGGTTTCCACTCATCAATTCCTCACCAAAATTCTGTTTACTGATCACATACCATGTGCCTGACACTGGCCCAGGACTTTGATGTGCAAGGAACAAAGCTAACGGCCAATGGGAAGACACACACTGCTAAGTACACACCTGAACAGATTACCATGCTGTTACAATTGGTTAGGGGTTAGGACAGACACACCCAAACTGCAGCCCAACACATTTGTAGATGATGTCATGTCTCAGTGTCAAAAGGTTGGACACCCTTGGGCTAAAAGACTAGAGCATAAGGTACCATGGGAATGCAGAAAAGAAGGAATCTGATTGTGCTTAAATCTGAAAAGCAATCAGAAACCCGAAGAGTGGAATTTCGGACCTGAAACAGCAGGACAAAGAAGTGCCCGGGGCGGGGATTGAGAGGCCAGCATCCCAAGAGAAGGAAAAGCATGTGGGAAGGCCAGCGGCAGGCGTGTGTGCAGATGGTGGAGGAAAAGCAAGGATGACAGAGATGACATGCAGAGAGAGGGAAGGGCGACCGCAGTGAGCTGGAGGTTGGGAGCCATAGAACGGTGACGTGCCACATAGAAGGTGGCATCTCAGAAGTATCTGTCACTTAACCTTCTTATCTAATGTTAGGTCATAGGTCACTTTCAGGCTTGAGGCATGCTCACCTTACTAAAGAGGGCACAGAGGGCAAGCTGACACAGAGCTGTCAGGGCATCATGTGGGCTCATTATCACCCTGTGGTCATGATAAAATCAGCTGAGATTCACTTAAGGCTAAGTGGTGACTCTTGCACGTATTGATTACATTTATGTGCATGTGTGTGTAGGTGTGTGTGTGTCTGTGTAGGTGTGTGTGTGTGTATGGGTGTATAGGTGTGTGAAGGCCAAGGCATGCATGTGGTATTAAGAGGGCAACTTACAGGAGTCAGTTCCCTCCTTCCATCTTGGGGCTTCCTAGGGATCAAACTCAGATTCTTGGGTTTGGTAGCCTGTGTCTTTCCGCTCCGAGCCATCTCATTGGCCCCACATATTCTAAACGTATCCATCACTGAAGCCAGAGTGGCCAGTGAGCAGGGGGCTCCCCAACCCCCATCTCCCTTGGGAACTGCTTTTACTGACTTCTATTTTGCTGTGGCACCTTTGCCAATGTGAAAAAGAACAGAGACTCACTGTTTCCTCTTTGGCTATCACTGAGGACACTGAAGATACCCACAACTGCTGTGCATCTCCCAAGGGATTTGTTTCTCTAGATTTTTAGGTAATTTTAATCTCCATCTCATGTAACCCATCAAGTTTCCCCTAGTCTTAGCTGCTAGAACATTCAGAACTGCATGTATGGTGTACCTATGCTATGGTAGACAAGTCTTCATTTTTCTTTCTCCCTAAATAAAAGTAAAAATAAATTAAGATGTCCAGTTGCTTTTATTTTGTGTACTGATTTTAAAGCCTGTACTAGAACAAGGTAAGAAATAACCAGTGAATGAATAAATAACCTGGCCATGACCAAGTTACCCTCCACCCTTGTGTTCTAGGATGGCCTCATTGCTGCCAGGAGACTTGCCCCAGCAGGGCTAGGCTTGAGGACAGGAGAACCCTGTGCTGAGCTGATTCTAGGCCTACAGTAATCTTGTTATCGAACTTATGAGTCACAGCCTGAGTCCCAAGCCAGGTACAGCCAAACAGCCTCAATAAGCCAATTAAAAAAGCCAAATTAAAAGTAGAAAGCAGAAAAAAAGGAGATTTATTCTCGCTAATAAGTTCTGCTAATAAATTTGTATTTATTTATATGGGCACATTGGCAAAGAGAGATGAGATTCAATAGCCTCACCACCTCACATCTGTCTTTGGGGCTCTGGTGTGAGATTAAAGTTTAACTAGAAGACTCTGCCCACCATGGACCCATGACTGTCTGGCCTTCAGTCTCATCCTGTATGGTTGTTTAACAAGTAGTCAGAACTGTATGGAATCTTTCTCTGGGCCACAAGTTCCCCCTCTGGCTGGCACCTTTTCCTTTTCTCAGCATGAGATTCCTGGGGAAATTTTCATTTCTCTGTGGTCCATTGTTTCAGTAGTCTGACAGATCAAGAAACACAACTGTCTTTTTAGAATATCTTCATTTCTGCCAGGGCCTATCAGGACTCCCTCCTTTCTGTTTTAACACTGCTGGTTCATAAGACTGCAAAGCCCATTAGTTCTCAGCTTCATGTCTCTTGGGTCTCTTTTCTCCCCGAACCTAGCTCAGATCCTCTCCGCCTCCTAGCTCTTCCTTAGTACCAGCCTCCCACAGTGCCCAAAGAACTATGCCCACACCACAGAGGGGTTCCTGCTTAACCATTCTTCATGTTTCACGTCCCCCCCTCTGATGACTGTAAACCAAGTAGAGGAAGTTGCTGATGTGACCTCTGAGGTCCTGTATGACCTGGGCTCATCCTGATTCACCTTTCGCTTCCTCTTCTGCTCCAGCCAACCTGAGTCATGCTGTCACGGCACTGATCTCATCTGTGATCCCAGCCTAGGTACCAATGCAAACATCAATGAGAGGACTTATGCAACACCACCAAGTGACACATGTGTGCACAGATTCCATCTGTGAAAGACCTCCAGGATGTGTGATTCAGACTCAAGTAGCTGTCAGGGTTGATTTCTCATAAACCAGGACCTCACCTGAGATACTCCTCAGGGTCTTATCTGATGCCTGAAGTTACAGTGCGGTAAGAGTGACCCAGGGGCCCTGTTGTCCTACTGTACGAGCATATATGCATGCACACATACTCACGCACACCACACTCATGACTAGCACACCCCTATCGATTGTACCACCGGCTTCTCAAACACAGGCTCAATTGTGTGGCAGGCCTGCCTGGCCTCTGACCTAGAATACGAAGCCCACTGGTATCATCTGAAGAATCTGGGGCAGGCCCCATGTGCCCAGGGTCATGAGCAGGTCAAGAGGCTTGGCTTGTTAAGACCATAGTTCTTCCTGTTCTGGTACTCAAAATAAAACAAGGGAGGAGGCAGGAGAATAGAGACCTCCTCTTCTTGGCTCATCCATGGATGAGCCAAGAACATGACGCTAAGAGTCATATAGGGCTTCCAGTATCAGAAGACCATGACGCTAAGAGTCATACAGGGCTCCCAGAATCAGAGGAACGTGACACTAACAGTCATGTAGGGCTTCCGGTATCAGAGGTGGTGGGTGGAGACTAAAGGTGGCTAGAAGCCCACTTCAAGAGGAAAGCCACCCTCTCAGTCTGTGGGCCCAGGAAACAGCTGCTCAGAAACGATGTGAGTGGCAAGCTGCGCTTCCGCAGGTATTACAATAATCGGCTGAGCCATCAGTGCTCAACCTGTGGGTCGTGACCCCTTGGTGTCACATAGTAGATATCCTGAATATTAGATATTTACATTATGATTCATAACAGTGGCAAAATTACAGTTATGAAGTAGCAATGAGATAATTTTACAGTCAGGGGTCACCACAACATGAGACACTGTATTAAAGGGTCACAGCATTAGGAAGGTTGAGAATCACTGGACTGGGCTGAGCTGAAGTGGGTGTCAGCTATAACGTAAGGAAGATGGGAAGTCTCAGGCAAAGTCCGACTCGCCCATCCATCATCGCCTACATAGTCAAGGCCAGCTTCCTTAGACAACCGCAAGACACCACATAAACTGACTCTGACTTCAGCTGCTCATCTCCCATCACAAGCAGCTACGCAGCTCTGCAAGTCTGGCCACGTGGACACACGGGAAGACTTTCTCAGACCCCAGACCCCTCTCAGTGTGTCCCCTGAAGACAAGTCCAGATCTCTGCACACCTGAAGAGTCCTTGGCTTTTGGGGCATCTGTATCCCCAATTGGCCTCTGAGAAGCTCCAGGGGGAGTACCCGAACTGAGTCACCCTCAGGTACCCCAAGGAATGGGCTGGTTCCTCAGAAACATGTAGTATTGAATCTGAATGTGTGGCCTCTAAAATTAATGAGTGAGATGCTTCCAGATTCCCCAGGAGAAAGCCATCTCTGCCCTCTCCGGAACAGCTGGCATCTTCTGTTGGCTTGGATGGGATATTCATTCACTTATACAAACTGAGGCTTGCCAAGGAGCTGTGTAGATCCTTGCAATCCAAGCACTCAGGAGGTTGAGGCTGAGGATTGCTAGTTCAAGGCCAGCCTAGGCTATATAGTATAGCCTTGTCAGCTACAACCCAAACTAAAAACTCCCTGAGGCCTGGGGAGGTTAAATGAGCCAGGCAGACCATCTAAGTCTTTGTACCAAATTGCATCACAATTGCATAGGAAGTGAGACAATCACACAACTCCACTCCATGCCTGTCTTCAGGACCAAATGGATTCAGTAGATATACATCCCTGCAACTTGGAGAAGGAACAGGAGAGTCTAGAAAGACAAATCCCCCCAAAGGGGTTTCCATGTGGCGCACATACCCTTTCAGAAGCACCAGCACAAAGGAACTTCAAGAGATGCTAAAAGGAGGATTTCAGAGAAGTGTCTTTGCTTATCACAGGCACAAACTGTGCTTGAAGTTAATCCTACCCAGCCCGGGAGGATTTTGGAGTTGTTGACTTCACTCCACCCTGCTTGACTCATTTCCTGTGTTGTGGGGACTTTTGAGCCACAGGCTTGCAAGCCCAGTCACTTGCCCATCTGTCCCTCTGCATCCCAGAGAAGCCCAAGAAACAGTTCTGGAAGGAGCAGAGGAGTGAATGAGGGCTGAATAAGCAAAAGCCCCCTGACCAGCACCCTAGAAGGGGTTGGAACCTCACAGAAGCAAGTGACAACATGGCTACCTCACCCAAGCCAAACGGGACAGTGTGGTGAATAATTGTAGGTTTGGGGTCCTGGTCGCTCTACTTGGAAGCAAGTTTTGTGTCTCTCAGGCCCCAGCCTCCTCACCAGTTGAGCTAGATCAGGAACACTGCCAGCTCTCAGGGCTGCTTGTGGGGAGGACAGTGGTAGGGAGAAGGAGCTAGGCCCTGCAGAAAGCTGAGAACCATGTCTGACCATGGCCAACACGCCATCTCCAGGCTTTGAGGCCTGTGTTCCCTAGACAAATCCCAGGTAGTGGTGAGGGGATGATGATGAACCACAGTTTATGACACAAACCACTGTGTCGTGTGGTGAACGGGCAGCTTACTACAGAACTAAACAGGGCCTTCACCTCTCACTCATACAGTTGCTTTGAAGCCTGCAAAAAAAAGGCCCTTTTGGTAACTGGGGGCTGGTGACCAAGCCCCATTCGGCTACATCACTCAAGGCTGAGATGTGTCCTCGGGTTCTCATGATGTACAAGCTCCAGGGCCCAGGTGACTTCAGAATGCAGAAGCTTTAACATTGGACTTAATTAATTCCCCATGTCCTCCTCAAGCTCCATGAGCCCACATACTGGGCAGCCAGACCAATCAGTAGCCCAGCCACGAAGGCCACGCCCCAAAGCGGACACTGGGATCATGGCCACATCTGATCTTTGCATTTATAAAAGCGAATTTTAAATTACATCAATCAACTTTGTGGGTGAGAGAGGAATGTACAGGCCACAGCACACATGTGGAGGTCAGAGGACATCTTGAGGGAGTTAGTTCTCTACTTCCACCATGTGCATCTTGATGATCCAATTCAGGTCACCAGGCTGTGGCAAGTGCCTCTAGCATCTGGGCTACTCACTGGCCTGGTCTTTGCATTTTTCCCCTTCAAAAAGATTTACCATGACTATATGCAACATTCTCAACAATTAAAAAAATATTTTCAAGAATAACACCAAGCTTTATATGAAGTGAGAGGTCTGAGGACAGGCAGAAGTAAGGAAGCCAGCTGAGGTGTGTGTGTACTTCATGGAGAAGGTTTTTATTCCCAAATGAACCCAGGTAAAATCGATAGGAGAGCCAGGTTTGAGGGAAGTCACTTTGCATACCTGCATAAACTCTCCCCATGGTAGGCTCTCCCCACTTGTAATGTATTCCTGTGAATCAAGAACTGCTTGGCTGACATGCACAAAAATAATGGGGACTGTCATAAACATTTAATGCATCAGGGTGAGTTTCATGATGTCCCTTTCTGGGTTCTAAGTCATGCTTGGTACAAAGGGAACTCCAAGGAAGAGGAATGTGTCATGAAATGAGCTTCAAAGAATACTCCCAGTTGGGCTGGAGAGATGGCTCAGAGATTAAGAACACCAGCTGTTCTTCCAGAGGTCCTGAGTTCAATTCCCAGCAACCACATGGTGGCTCACAACCATCTGTAATGAGATCTGGATACAGGCACACATGCAGACAGAACACTGCATACATAATAAATAAATAAATCTTTAAAAAATAAAAAAGAATACTCCAAGTTTGCACAGGCTGGCCTATCCCTCCCATCATCCTTACTTTTGAAACAGGCGGTTGAACTGGAGGATGTGAGCAGAGGCCAGCACGCCCAGCACATTGTCCACATTCATCTCCACCTCGTTCATGTAGAGGTTCTTCAGGGCCAGGGCGAAGGCTGGGGGAGCAGCAGCAGAGCGGAAGCCATTAGTGTGGGATTTGTGTGCCCACCCAGGGGTCTCACTACTCCTGTAGCAGGGCATGGGTGTAGATGCTTGGAGGAAAGGTGAGCGCTGACTTGGGTGCAGACTAACTTGGCAGATGTCCACCTGGACCCGCAGCTTCCTAGGGACAGCTGATCTCCACTATAAGGATCCTCCTTTGAGCCTGTTCTTGGAGTCTGGAGCCAACATGTCTCCCAGCATATCTCCCCTAACCTGGGGTCCATGACCCCCCCAGGAATGTGTCTTTTTGAATCTGTGGAGAATGTTACATACAGGCTGGTGCACTTTTTCTCTAGGTCCATGCCATGGAGCTTAATGATGGGTTTCCCTTGGAGTCTGAGAACTTCAGAAGAGGCCAGGCACTTCCAGGAAGAAATCAGGATAATTCAGTGATTTAGGAACCAGACTGTCTGGTTAAAGGTCAGATGGACTTGGCCTCCTGGAAATGCAGCATGACCAGGACAGTATGGCTATGCTGTTGCAGTGTACTGTGAGGACCATGAGCTGTCTGTGCCAGTGCCCCAGGGCACCATCTACAGTGCTCCTGACCTACCTGCCTACAGACCTGTGTCATCACAGCATGTCGTGCAAGCTGTGTTCACAGAGATGACTGCTTGGGAAAGCTGAGGAAAGGTTGAAAACTCCACAGGAACCTGCTACTGCTGCTGGAAGCCAGCCAGTGGGGACCAGTGTGGTGGGGGGCAGGTCAAATGCTGTTTGGGAAGAAGGGTAGGCCTGTGGGTGTCCCTGTACTCTACAGGTGTGAGCTGAGTAGGGTGGTTTCCCCCAGGTCTGAGAAGCCTGAACATCCTTCCCTTCCTGTATCTTGTCTCCTGACCAGTGGCCACATTGATCCTTAGGAATGATCTGCTTTCCTATATGTGTCCCAGCCTTCTTGATCCTTCTTTCTGTGGACTGTTCATCTCCCCCCTCTCCTGGTGTGTGTGTGTGCGTGTGTGTGTGTGTTTGTGTGCAGGCCAGGGGTTGATGTCAGGTGTCTTGTCAATCACTCTCCATCCTTTTTTTTTTTTTTTTTTATTTGAGGCTGGGTTGGGTCTCTCACTGAACCTAGATCTCATCACTTTGACTCAGCTGTCTGGCCACTGATCAGGGCTTGCCCATGCCTGCCTCCTTGACCCCATCCAGCACTTGGGTTACAGATGTGCATGCATCTGGCTTTTCCTTGTGTGCAAAGATCTGAACGTGGATCCTGGTGCTTACGCAGCAGGCTCGGTACTGACTTAGTAGTTTCGAGGAAGAGCATGTATCTCTTGATTGTGTGTTTTGCTGTTCAGTTTTGTCTCTAGGAGAACTGACTGTTCAGTGGCCTTCTCAGAATATGAAAGACAGATTACATTACCGACTCTGGTGACTGCCGGGTCATTGACCTTCAAGGTAATGATGATCTTCTTCACAGGGGACTTTTCTTTGACCTTCTTAGGTGCCTGAGCTAGTGAAGAGAATGCAGTGTGAAGATGGAGAATGAGGTCCGCCACCCTGCACACAGCCTGGGTCTTGGCCCATGTCATTTGCATTGTTAGTTTGATTGTTGGGTGGATGTATTTTAGCGGTGACAACTTATTTTGAAATAGTTTGAGACTCACAAGAGGCTGCAAAGTGGCACAGGAGTTCCTGGGTCGCTCTCTCCCTGCTTCCCCCAGTGATCTTAGCATTGCCAAGACGTGACTGAAACCTGCATTGCCTTGCCGGACTTGTTTCCTGTGTCCTGCTCTCTGCCCTGTCTCTCTTGCCGGACTTGTTTCCTGTGTCCTGCTTTCTGCCCTTCTTCCATTCCCCCCATCCAGGCATTTTGAAGGCAAAGCAGGCCTCAACCACTGGTTTTGGTGCCTGGGCTGCACGGGCAGAGCAAGTAGCAAGTGGGAACACAATTGACTACCTGCTGCAGGATGAGTAAGTGACTGTGACATCCACATGGTGGCTCTCTTCTTTTTAAAAGTATTATTACATTGGGTGGTGGTGGCGGCGGCGGCGGCGGCGGCGGCGGCGGCGGCGGCGGCGGCGGCGGCGGCGCACGCCTTTAATCTCAGTACTTGGGAGGCAGAAGCAGGCAGCTCTGTGAGTTCAAGGCCAGCCTGGTCTACAAAGTGAGTTCCAGGATAGCCAGGACTGTTTATACAGAGAAACCTTGTCTCAAAAACAAACAAACAAGTGTTATTACATCCATATATCCATAGCACATGTATAGGTCAGTTCTCTTCTTCCACCACATGTGTCTCAGAGACCAAAATCAAACTTCTGGACAAAGGCAAGCACCTTTGCCTGCTGAGCTATCTCACAAGCCCCATACAGTGGCTCTCGATGCTTTGCCCCATGGGTTTTCAGACTGAGAACCCCTGCCACCGAAGAGTTCTGGGTGAAGGGATGGAGCAGGCCAATTCATTGTTAGCTAGTCCATGTATTTGGAGTTGTTCTAAACTGAGACTCTGAGAGGGCGTTTCCAAGAGCATCCTTTCTCCTTGGCACAGAGGCCAGAGCTTCGCCTATGATCTCGGGAGCTTCCTGGCCTCTAACTTCTCCCTCGGTTCTAAATTTACTAGTCTGGGTTTGCTTCCCTGAATAATGTGGGGCTCTTTCCCTGCCTTTCTCCTTCTCTAGGGGCCTACACACGGGTCCCCTTCTCAGAGAGGCCTTCCCTGGCTGACCCCATATGGAAGACAGCACCGTTACCCCAACTACATGGCCTGTTTCTTCTCTGAAGACCAACTTACCACAACCTGCTATTATACCACCGATCTGCTGTTACACTTACCAGGCAGGCACACTGATGGTTCACTAGCCACACATCCTCAGGATGTGCCATGGTCTTTCACACACTGGCCCTAAGTCAATATTAGCTGAACCGACAAAATGAACAGGTTCTAGCATCACAGAGCTCAAGACTGCATGAGATGGGAGCCAAAGAGGAAGTCGTGCTGCGGAAAAATGAGCCAATGAAAGTTCCTTTTCCTCAGCATCCCCTTACAACCCTCTGACATTTATCTATATTCAGACTTAACATTCAGCAAATATTTATGAAGTACCCACTAAATGCCATCCTTGCCTTCCTCTGTACCCACTAAGTACCAAGCTCTGGATCACTTTGCTCTTGGCCTGTTTGCATGGTCTCCTGTATGCATGTTCTTGTCAATTACTCACCTCTATTGCAGAAAGCGAAAGACACTACACACAAATGCCTTGCACACAGTATACACACAGGAGGGGGTGACTAGTATTATAATGGATCATGCTGCTTACCATATTTTATCATTTTTTTGAGATGTTTTACTATCCCCCTAAGATGCCTAGCACAATGCCTGGTAAAGCAGAACAGCCTGTATTTCTGAAGGAAAAGACAATATTAGCTAGGCCGGAGTGAGAGACAGACACACAGGACCAACCTTCCCTCCAGGTTAGGTCACCAGTACCCAGACAGATAGGAAGCTAACCATGCTCCTGAGGTCTGTGGAAATCAAGGTAGTTGGAGTGTGCTTAGTAGAAAAGGATGTCATCCTAGACAATAAACATTGGCTCCTAGTTCAGCTGCCCATCAGTGTTAGGAAGAAAAAGGACGAGCAGCCATGGGAAGCCTCAGGAACATACAGCTCTCCAGCACTTTTCCAGAAGCCTCATCCATGCCAACTCCAGGACAATGCACAGACATTCCCAGCAAGACCCAAGCAATGATTGTGAGATCAGTGTGCAGCCTTGGGCTGGAGGCTGTGTTTAATTCTAAAGGCAGAGAGAAGGTGGTGATGGTTCCATGGGATACCCTGGAAATGCATGCCCTGACACTTGTCAGTGTGTGTGGTTATGAGGAGGGCAGTGACAGTCATGGACATGGAGTTCTCATTACTATACCTTTTCTGTTATCTGCAGCTAGACTTTGTCACTAGCAGGGATCTTGGGTTAGAGGGGCAGGACCTAGTCTTTAGGGACACTCTTCTGGACCCATGAAAGATACCATGAGCACTGCCCCCTTTTCCACCACTGGTTCTCTTCCTTTCCAGTGTACTCCCTCTCTACATCATCAGAGCCTCCATTGATGGCTCAGTAGGCGGTCTGACCTGAGCTCTGGGAAGATGGAGGAGTGTAGCCCTGTTCTAGAGGGCATGAGGCAAATGCTTAGGAACAGAAAAGACATCACAAGAAGGGGCTCAGGTCTCCGTGCTCCTGTGGAGGAGTCACAAGTGGCTCACCTATGTGACTCCATGCCAGTTCAGATGCTGTTAGGCCAGGTGGGTGCTAGCAGGTAGGAGAGTGCACTCCAGGCTCAGGGAGGGGTCCTGACTGGGGGGGACTCTGGCTGCCTGGCTGGCTGTAGAACAACCAAGCATGGCTTCCATGACCTGAAAATACAATCCCACTTTGACTAGCATGCTGGCTAGCTTTGGAGACCATGAATTTGCCACTTCACCTGCTTATGTGTCAATCTGGAGTATGCTCAGGCTGTTGCCCAAAGAAATTGGTCTTGTAACCGGTGAAGACATGTGGACTAGGAAAGAGGAGGGCCAAGGTGGTTAGGGTGCAAAGAGGAGAGAATTAAAGAAGTGAGCTAAATTCTTTTTGGAAGGAGATAAGTTGAGAAAAAGAAAAGAAAAACAGAACAGCAAGGAAGGGGACAGAAGGAAAAACACACGTCTTAACCTCTAACCAGCATGAACAGGGCAAACAAGTCAGATTTCAGAACTATGCTTTTCTTCCACCAAGTTCTTCGGGAGATTCAACAGAGCTCATCTCGTCTACTCTAAGAAGTAGGTAGGCTCTGTGTCTTCAGTGGCTGGATAAGACTTGTTTGTTGCAAAGACAATAATGGGGATGCACTGAGCACTTGCTATATGCCAGGTATTGTTCTAGAACCCCACACCCATTACCTCCTCTAGGCTCCAAAGTCATGCAGCAAAAACTACCATCCCACTTCACGTCTGAGGAAGCAGGCTCAACTCGTGGTGAGCTCACATTGTAGAGCATGATTTATCACTAATGAAGATGACCACATGCCAATCAATGGCCATGCTCTTCCAATCCTGAGGGTATCTGCAGCTCTAGTCCCAGGTCTCCTGGGAGATTACCTTTCAGAATCCTGTTCAGCTCCCTTGAGGGGTTTTTTATGTTCTGCATCAGGGCTGTCAAATAAAGCTTGGCCAAGGTCTCAGACTGAAAAATCTGAGGGTGATGGAGTTCCCACTTGAAGCCGAGGCATTCTAGAATCACATCTGAGGAGAGAAAGTGATGCTGAGTCACCCTTGGGAACACTGCTACCTGAAGATAAATAGGCTCCTCCCAATGGCCACAGTTACTCAGTAGATAGCAGAGACAAGTGACTTCCCAGGCCTTTGTGTAGTGTGGGGCCAAGCACTTGCTGGCTTTGAGGGGGACCAAGTGAGCAATGTCATGGCAATCCGTGCTCTGAGGGTTGCTGATGAAGTTGTCGATTTCCAAGGCATGTAAGCTGCTCTCTAACTCAGGGGCTTGAGAACAGCTCAGAAAGACCTTTAGGGACCCTCTTCAGTGGACTCTCTTGGGGGTTTCATATTGAAGTAAAATGGCACTGTAAAGAAAGCCTTTTCCAAACCATGGAATGCTCTATGTGGCGCTGTCTGACCTGTGTCTCTCATAGATGATTTAGAAGAGACCTTGATCAGAGGGCAGGTGAATGATGCCAGGTGAGGCATGAGGGGGGTGGGTGAGAGGACTCTGCATGACTTAACTCTTACTGTTAGTGCAGAGCTCGGGGAGAGGCTGGTGAAAGGGACCATTGTTCTAAACCAGACATGACCTAGAAGGCCACTTGCTGTTTCTTGGCTTTGCCATTATTTTGACTGTGTGACTTGGGGCACCTGTCTCTCCTTCTTGATATTGTCATTCACCAACTTAAGATATTGTTTCATGTTGGAGTTCAGAAACTGAGTTTACATCTCAAATCTTGGATGACCTCAGGTAGTTTGGTTATGCTGGGTTAGGGGGGAAAAAGTCCCATATATGTAGGGTGATTATAGGAAGGAACAGAATTATAGATCCAGCATGCTCCTTCTCTGGTTATCAATCTCAACTTCTAAGATGGCCATTACACAGCAGATATCACTAATCAGTCCTTGTGTTCTCTCTCCTCACCATGAGAAGGTCTCAGCCTGCTTCTCTAGATCCATTAGGGTTGGCAGATGAGAAGGAATTACTAGGTTTCCCTTGGAAAAGAGGCTGCCTCTGACCTCAAGCAACTGTTCTGTGGAGTTGAACCTCAAACAGCTCCTTTAAGAGGCTGACTTTGGAGTAGGGGTGCGACTCAGTGATAGAGTGCATGCCTGGCACAGATGAGGGCCTAGGTTCAGTCTCCAGCATAACAAAAGATAGAAAAAAAAAACACTACGGTTATCTTTCTACTTTCCGTACCTGGGTCAATGGACCTTTTTCCTATTCTGATTTATGCTCCTATCACAGAAAAGTCCTTTGGGACAAGTGTCAAGCTGGGTGTCAATCATGACTCTTTAAATCCCAAAGGGGCAAAAATCCAGCTGCCTATTCCTGAATGCTATGTGTAGACTCTTGTAAAGGCTACTTATTGTCATCAGTGTGTTTGTCTTTATTGCGTCACATGTATACATGTGTGAGGAGCATGGATCCACTCCTCACAATAGAAGAGTGTTTACAGGCACCTGTTTCCTGTCAGACTTTGTGGTGCATGAGAATTGTGGTTCATGCTGGTTCTGTTCCACAGGGACCATAGTAGGGCCATGAAGTCAGCATAGTTCTGGTTGAATCCACAGTGACCACTCACCTGCTTCCCCGCTTTGGGTGCCACTGTTTGAGATATTCTCAGAGAGAAGCTTTTGGAATTTTGAAATGAGTAATCTTGAGAGAAAACACAAACAGAAGATCCAGAGGTTAATAATAAAACAAATTTTTGCTAACTATAACACTTATGAGAGGTGTGGGAGACAGGCTCTATATGTCTTAACTCATAAGAGCCAAGAGTTGGAGAAAGAAGAGCAACATTCCCAAACCTTAAATGTCTGCACCAGATAGGACCCAAAGGGCCATGTAACTCCATCTAGCTACTTTTGGTTTTGCCATTACCTTGACTGTGTGACCTGGGTTACCCATTTCCTCTTCCTGATATGATTATTGCTATTCAACTTTATGATAGTGTTTCATGGCAAGGTTCAGAAACTGGGCCACAACCCATCCTACTGTATACTTTACTAAAACATCAGTCCTTACATCATCCATCTCCATAGCAGCCATCCCTACATCATCTATCCTTATAGGATCTATCCCCACAACATGCATCATTCCAGTATCCCTACATCATCTATCCTTACAGCATCCATCCCTACAACATACATTATTCCTGTATCCCTACATCATCCATCTTTACAGCATCTATCCCTAAATCAGCACCTTATCACATCTCTCTCTCTTTGTGAGAGTTTTCTCAACTCTTAACATGACTGATCCCAAACACTGATCCCTGTTCCTGCTAGTGAACATGACCTACCAAGGAGATATTCAAGACTACCCTGCCTGTGGAATGACTTCCTTTGGAAAGTCTCTAGAACTTTAAACTCTAAAATGGCATACAGTAGGTACTCAATAAATATCTGATGATATCTGATGGAGAGGAGCATAGAGTATTCCTTTTTTTTTTTTTTTTTTTTTTGGTTTTTCAAGACAGGGTTTCTCTGTGCAGCTTTACACCTTTCCTGGAACTCACTCTGTACCCCAGGCTGGCCTCGAACTCACAGAGATCCACCTGGTTCTGCCTCCCAAGTGCTGGGATTAAAGGCATGTGCCATCACCGCCCGGCTGAGTATTCTTTTCTAGGACATTAACTGCCAATCTCAGGACAGCTGAAAATTAAGCTTACAGTCTACCCCAAACCCTACCCTGTTCCTCTACCCTGGTTCCTGTCTTAGGACATGGACCCCCAGGTACCCAAGCCAGCCAACTGGGCACCGTCACATCTGTCTCCATTTGACAAAAGGCTCTCTTCTACCTGATCATGCGCAGGTAGAAGATTGCCTTCATTACTCAACCTTTGTCCAGGCTACTTCTCGTCTGCCCAGTCATTGCCAGTGTCCCAGCCTCTATCGAATCCTTTTCTTGTCTCACCCCACACAACATTCAGAGCTGGTCTTGTCTCTCCTATTCGGGATCCACCCTTGTGTCCCCATAGACCACTGGCAAAGCTACAAGCTCCTGCCTCACTATAACCTTGTGCCTCCTGCTCTGGCCACAGCCTTTTCTGGCTTCCTGAATGCAGCCCCCACACACTCACAGGTCCCCTTCCTGTGCCGTGGGCTTTCCAGCTTCTCTCCAGGGGCTCTTACTAATTCTCTAGGAAAATCTTCATTGTTGCTTTCTCTGGGCCAGCATCCCCAGCCCCATAGATCCTCAAGACTGTCCCAATAAAATTTCTGCAATGTCTTCTGGTTGCCTGTCTACTCCTGAGTCCTTTACACAACACCAGGGTGTCTGTTTACTGCTGAGGCCCTGGCGCAAGTCACCGTACAAGTGTTGGGTCAATGTCCGTTCAGTCTATGAGTGTAAATAGCAACAGTGATAATGCTTTTCACAGACGCTGTGTACTCTACATGCAGAGTGTGGAAATAAACTAAAACGAGTCACATATTCAGTTAGAAGATGATCATCTCAAGAAAGCCAATCATCCAAGGGACACTTGTAGACCACATCTGGTCTGTGTATCCCAGGGTCCACTTGGGAATGCTGTTTTCCAGTGATTCAGAAGCCCTCATGAGCCAGGTGCATGGAGGCGGTTTGGGCAGGAGCCTGTTTCCAGAATAATAGTGACAGCATGCCACCCTTTCCAGGACAGAGATGACTGCAAATGACTCAAGCCCAGGAAGGCACTAGGAGCCTGAGCTGTTTACTCAGCATGAGTGATGGACTGGACCCTCATATCCTCCCTCAGTCACTTAGGTGACATGTCTGAGAAGAGCTGGGCAGGGTTAAGAGTTCAGACTATCACCTTAAATGGGACTGGTGGGTTTTGGAAACTCCAGGGCACTGTCCATGAGCTCAACCCGCCTCACAAACATCTCCATTGCCAGCTGAGCCAGGAGATGCCAGATGACAAAATGGCCACACTGCCTCTCCTTGGGTGTGACCACTGTTTACCATACAGGCTTTGGAGACCTCAAGAGCAGGCTCATTTGAGGATCATTGTAGAATCTATGGTATAAACATCTCTTTACTCACCAGGAGGAAAAATGCCCTGTGAAGATGTGCCAGGGGGCAGTGGTAATGTGTTCATAGACTGGCCCTTGTTCCTTTAAGTGGTGGCCCATGATGAGGAAAGATAAAAGGGAATTCGAGAAGAAGTTTCTCAGAGAAGTATAGGTCTCCTGCAACAAGCCACACATGGGAATGCTGGCTTGATACTCAGGTGTTGGGGACTCCAATCTGACTAACTGGGAAGAATTATACAGACCTGGGTCCCAGTCCCTCCATTTTCTTCCACATGACCTTGGGACCTGCCTCTTGGTCTCAGAGCTTTCCCCTATAGAACGAAGATGGCTGGGCAGGGCAGAAGAGTGGACGTCTGAGGGGCCTACCACTGAGTCTACACTTGACTGGTGTTTGTTCTTTTGTTTCCTTTGTAACTCAGGTCCTATGTCCCTAATCTCTCTCTCCCTGAACTGTACTCTGATAAAATAGCCAGGGGTCTCCTGTTGACATCCCCACCTCTTTGCATGACCTTCCCGTCCTTGATACGGACTTGGCGCTGTAGGCAGGATGAAAGGGCAATACCAACCAGAGTCACCAGCCAGGGATCAGGAAGGGCTCTAAGGCTCATTGCCCAGCATGTCTGGATCTGTAGTGGGTGGGCCCTTCCTTTAAGTCTTGGCTGGGCAGCACCTCCCCTATGCTGCCTCTTTGGGTAAGTGACAGTATGCATCCACATATGTCAGAACCCCTCAAGACAGCTTGAATTGTTTTTGAGTGTCTGTTTAAAGTTTTCTATGAATAATGTCATATAAGAGAACATATTCAATTTGTATATAAGAATTTAGGACTTGCTGGGCGGTGGTGGCGCACGCCTTTAATCCCAGCACTCAGGAGGCAGAGCCAGGCAGATCTCTGTGAGTTCGAGGCCAGCCTGGGCTACAAAGTGAGTCCCAGGAAAGGTGCAAAGCTACACAGAGAAACCCTGCCTCAAAAAACCAAAAAAAAAAAAAAAAAAAAAAAAGAAGAAGAAGAAGAAGAAGAAGAATTTAGGGCTGTAGGAAAGGAGTCGATACTCCCGTGTCTCTCAGCCCCTCACCCCATTCTGTACTCTAGGCAAAGCCATCAACAGAGCTCTGCACAGCATCTCGAAGTGAGCAGTCTCAGAGTCCCCCACACCCTGGAAACCCACAGACACAACAAGCAGGGCTGGCCAGCTGGATGGCACCCAGGGCACTGACCTGTCCAAGGCACAGCTACAGACCCAAAATAAACGGGGGCTGGGCGCCGAGTGGCCCTTGATGCAATGTGTTTACTACGGTTGGCTCTGGCTCCTGTCAAAGTTGACAGTGACCCCATGTGGGAGAAGCCACAATTACAACACAAGAGGCAGGGCCAGCACTTCACTGATGAGGTAGGAGCTGTGTGTGCTTTGGGGGACACACGTGTGCTACACAATACAATTCCAGACACTCACACGCACACTGGCCTTGGAATGTGACAGCAGAAAGTCTCCTGGTATCTAATGGTGCACATTATTAGGAATATTTCCTTTATTACCTGAATTAAATGTTGTCTATCAACATAAAAAATAAGTAAACAGAAAAACAAATAGAACCTTTAAGGCGCTTTCCAAGAGTTTTTCACTACAGATTTCCACTACAAAGACAGAATTGCAATCCCCATTACAAAGACAGAATTGCAATCCCCATGTTTATGAAAGAAAATCCATTTCCCCCCATTGTGGCAGACTCCACCAAGAAAATCGTACAATTTATTCAGAGTCTATTTGTAAGAATAATACTCCCGCTGAGCAGTGGTGGCACACACCTTTAATCCCAGCACTCAGGAGGTAGAGGCAGGTGGATCTCTGTGAGTTCAAGGCCAGCCTGGGCTACAGAGTGAGTTCTAGGAAAGGCTCCATAGCCACACAGAGAAACCTTGTCTCAAAAAACCAAAAAAAAAAAAAAAAAAATAGTACTAAATATTTCTAATACATAATCTGTTGTAATGCACCAGATTTAACCATCCATTCAAGTTTTCAAAGGAGTTTTCATCATGACCATTTCACAGATGAGGAAAGTGAGGCTCAGTGAGGTTTAGCCACAAGCTAAAGGTCATATTTAACCAGTCACTCAGCAACCATGGAACCAGCAGATCTTCCATGCCAGGTACTGTGCCAGGGACAGCCTTTGCTTCGGCAGTCTTAACCATGAGCACGAGACAGGACTACTGGTTCAGAGATTAGCGGTATCAGGCCAGGGCAAAAGCACCCAGAAGTGGAGGGTCCTTCTGCAATGAGTTCCTTTGCTGTGTCCTCAGGACAGGCAGAACTCACAATTTGGAGAAGTGATGATCTAGCCTGATGCTAACACTACTTACTAAGAGAGGGAAGGGGAAAGGTGGCCTGGGTAGAAATGGGAATTCATGAGAATTCACATCAAAACACTTAGCCATGGTGCTTTTTCAAGAGATCATTTGCCCCCGGATGATGAATTTAGAATCTGCTGAGGGTCCAAAGCTCATATATAAAGGAAAAGCTGCTCTTTTATCACTATCAACCGACCTTGTCAGAGCAAGAAGTCACTTCAGACCCTGTCCATGCCTATGTATGATCCTCTAGTGAAGCTTCCTTATAGACAAACCTGGACCATCTAGCCAGCGTGGTCTAGTCATCAAGTACCTCCCCTTCCTTTCTGGGCTGCCATTCCCTGCCATGGGCCTTCAATCCTTCCTACCTGTCTGGGTTCTTCAGAGCGTCATCAAGGTCTATGTTCAAAACATTGCACATCTGGGAGAGTGCCAGCAGGTCTCCACAGAAATGCTCTTGGGGAAACCGCCACCGGTTGGTTCCACCAACAATCCGGCGCTCCAGCCGAATCCTGCGCTGCTTGATCAAAGAGAGAAGGGTCTTTAAGTTTACGCAAATGCCAGCTTTCCCAGACTGTACAGCACAAAGAAAATCAATGCAAACTTTAAACTGCTGCTGAACTCTCGGACCTGGCTAGCATCCGTCATGGGGCATCTAGTCAAGATCAGGGTGCCGTGTTCTGTGCTTCAAACTACGAAGTACTTTGGAATTTGGGGTTTGGAACAAGAGCTTCCCAGGACAAAAAGGCCAATTGTTTTTTATAGGTAGCTAAGAATCCACAAGTAAGCATATTACTGTACTTCAAATACTGTTCTTTGAGTACTTAGCCTAACATCAATCAGAGAGATACTATGGATGGAGAGTTTTCTTTTTGGTAAAATGCACAACACAAAATTCAAAAAAAATTTTATTTATTTATAGTGTACAGTTCAGTGGCATTTAGTACGTTTATAATCTTGTGCAACCATCACCCTTATCTAGCTCCAGAACATCTTCATCACTCACCAAAGGACCCTGTACCCATCAGGCTCCCCATCCATCACCGTCTCCCCATGCCAGGTGACCACTAAGCTGTTTTCTGACTATAGTTTTGCTCACTCTGGATAGTGCAAGTGTAGAATCTCACAGTGTCTGCCTCCTTTCAGTGGCCAGGTTTCCGAGGTTCATCCACGTTATCAGCACTTCCTTCCTTTACAAGGCTCCATGACATTGCATTGTGTGACTCTACCACAGTCTGTGCATTGTTCCATCAGTTGACGACCTTTGAGTTGTCCCTGAGTCTAGCTGTTAGGAATCGTGCAGCTAAGAACATTCCTACAGTTTCCTTAACAGAAGAGAACACTAGGAATCCAACTCTCAGACTCATGACTCAGAGACACTTAGCAAGAAAATCTCACCACGGGGGATCCATGGGAATGGAAGCTGTCAATCCTAAGCCACCCAGGCACCAAGGGAATAGTGAAAATGTGGGATGTGGGATCTGAGTCTAATTCCGGTTATTGCCACTTACTGATGGACAACTTTGGGCAAGTCACCTTACCTTCTGAGCCCCTCAGACATCTTTTAAATTGGGGATTAGCTTAAATGGGAATGGGGACAAAGATGATGATAGTGGTGATAATTGTGATAATGATGGCAATAGTAGTGGTGGTATGTGTGGTGGTGATGGTGATAATCATGGCGATGATGGTGACGGTACTGATGGCAGTTGTGGTGAAAGAGATGATGGTAATGATGATTGAAGTGGTATGTTAATAGTTATGGTACTGATGGCAATGTCAGGGATGGTAGTGATTTGGGTAGTCATGGTGATATTGATTGCAGTAATGCTCGTGGTGAGGTGTTGGTGCTGGTGATGTTGGTATGATATTTGTAACGGTGGTGGTGGCAGTGACAATAACATGTGGCAAAGATGGCGCTCATGATACCACCTTAGTTTGGGAGTTGAGGATAAAATGAAACCGTGTGGGAAATGTGTCTTAGCACAGTGCCCAGCAAGGTGACTGTGGTCACCTCAGCATGGATGGGCTCAGCCGTGGGGCTGCTCTCTAGTTGCTGGACAGTGCTCCCTGGACTCGCCCTTCCCTGGAGTCAGCCAGTCAAGCCTGAGGCCTTCAGTGGTGCAGGCCCTGGCCCTTATGGGAACATAGGAATCTCACTGTAACCCTGTGCTGCTTGTCTTCTCATGCTGTGTGTGAGCGTGTGAGCATCAGTGCACATGTGTGAGCACGAGCATGTGTGCATAGTCAGAGGCCGACCGTGGATATTTTCTTCATCACCCTTTGCTTTAGTTTCTGAGTGAAGAGTCTCTGACTGAATCCAGAGCTCATCAGTTCAGTGAGAACAGCTTTCTAGCAAGTCCCAGGATTCTCCCGTCTTTTCCCACCCCCAGCACAGGGGGTGGTGGGGGTGCTCAACCTATATCATACTCAGGTTTTCTAAGGATTCTGGGGGATCAAACTCAAGTCATCAGTCTCACATGGCAAGCACTTTATTGACTGAGCAATGTGAACGAAAGTTTCCCTAGAGAGAAACTAGGCCTGATGTTGAAATTTCTATCAGGTGGATTCATTGATGACAACCCCAATAACTGTGGAGAGGTTGGAATGATGCAGGTCCAGAGCCTAGCTTCAGTCTCCTTACTAGCCATTCCTTGCCTGCTTCTGTGTCTGACACATCCTTGTGACTATCAGGTGACACATTTTGCAATGTATTAACAGCCTAAAATCTCAAAATGTCATCAGTTAACACACACACACTGGTAGCAGATTTCCCCAGGTTGCTGTGACCCTATCTACCTGGTGGCAGCATACTTGACAATGTATTGGTTTATAATTTTCTGTGTTCTGTTAATATAAAATGTTGTGAAGCTGTTACCATGTCAGAAAACGGACTTCAGAGTAACCTAAATCTGTTTCCTGAGCCAAGATCATCTCTATTTGGCTCCAGAATAAACTATTCCTTATCCCCGTCAAGGGGAGGATTGCGGTTTTTGCATCAACAACCATCTCCCCAGCCCTACCATTACCTGCCTTCTGGTGAAAGGATCCACTTACCGGATTCAACATTTTCATGAATGATAGTGGAGATGACACGGAAGGAAAGAGATGAGCACCTGGAAGACAAAAGAGCTAAAGCTGAACATTTCAACACGCCCCTGAAGCATCTCATCAGGCTATTGTACCGGAGACTGATCAAAAGAATCTCTATTTACCACAAAAAGAATAATTGAGGAAGCCTCAAGTGTGGGTCATGTATCAAAGCAAGAAGGTATCTAGGCTTTCTGTTGTTAGCTCGCTCTGTGGGGCTTCATACTACCCAAGAGCTCCAGCCTGGAGCTACATCCCCATGCCTGGGTTCTAAAAGGCACATCTGTGGCTAGACCTACGCTATCATGTTGGAAAAGCGGCTCAGCTGGGGTGGCACAGATGATGATGTCTCACGTTGTCAAGAGGATGAAGATCAACGGATGGACAGCTGCAGGCAGGGTGAGCATGGACTTCTTTATTTGGACCAGGAGACAAAGAGAGAACTTTACCAATTAGTCCCCAACAACAGGTAGAACCTGGACTGCACTGGAGCCCAGCGGATTTATGATTACCTTGGCTTAAAGGCCGTGAAAGAGGACTGGCAGAACATGCATTCTTCTGTGGTTCTGAATGCAATTAGGGCAATTTGGTTACAAGCAACAGAAACCTATCTGACTAATGGGATGCCAAAAAAAATAATAATAATTGTAGGACCAGGAGGGTAGGATTGCCTGAAAGATGCTCATGGGAGGAGGACACTCACAGACTCCCAGAAGGAGCAGGAACTTCTACAGGGACTGAGGTACAAGCACCAAGCCTGTTTTTGTCAGAGGTTCCCACGGGGATGAATCAGTTCCCTACACCCTGTCTCTATGAGGTTCTGAACAAATTCTTTTTTAAAAAAATACATTTTATTTTAACTTTTTTATTTTAATTTTATTTTATGTGCATTGATGTGAGGTTGTTGGATCCTCTGGAACTGGAGTTACAGACAGTTGTGAGCTGTCATATGGGTGCTGGGAATTGAACCTGGGTCCTCTGGAAGAGCAGTCATCTGGAGCCATCTCTCCAGCCCCTCTATTTTTTTAAATGTATACATTTATTTTATGTGCAACAGATCTCCTGGATCCAGAGTTACAGGCAGTTGTAAGCCCCCATGTGGATGTTGGGACTCAAACCTGGCCTTCTGCAAGAGCAGAAAGCAGTCTCAACAGCTGAGTCATCTCTCTAGCCCCCCAAGGTCAAATTCTTGACACATGGGTCCCACTGACCTAACTTAAACACCCAAGGAATTCTTCCAATTACAATTCATGTAATGGGGGGCTCAGTATTTTTCTAGAGCAAAACTGAGGAGAAGGGGAAGTGATGGACAGGTGAAGACATTAAAGTCTGTGGCACTTGTGACCCAAGACCCTCAGCTACCCCCTGCTTTCCGAGGAGCACTTGACCGAATCGCAGCCAAGGCAGCGGAGTGACTCAGTCATGCATTCATTCTGCAGGTGCCTTCTGTGTGGGAGCCCAGAGAGGGTTGCTTGTTTCTGAGATAAGGCAGACAGCAAGATGGGCATGAGCTCTGCCTCATGGGATTTCCATTCCATGTGAGCAGACAGAATTGTCTTTTCCTTTACAATTAAGTATATTAAAAATAAACAAAAACACTGTAAAAGGTAAAACTGGATCAATACAAAAACAGCAGGCAAAGAAAAGTGTGACAGGGGCTGGAGAGATGGCTCAGAGGTTAAGAGCACTGGGTTACTTTTCCAGAGGTCCTGAGTTCAATTCCCAGCACCCACATGGTGGCTCACAACCACCTGTAATGAGGTCTGGTGCCCTCTTCCGGCATACAGGCGCACATGCAGGCAGAACACTGCATACATAATAAATACATCTGAAAAAAAAGGAAGAAAAACTTGACAAGGGTTACATGGTATTTCATACAACGGATGCCTCATTCTCCATTAAAATAGTCCCCCGTCCCTAGTCATCGCAGCTGCTTCCTGTCTCCTAGTCCCAGAAACAGCAAGAGCAACACATATCACACACACTTTATTCAGGTTGGTAGTTTATATTACTATATGTATGTATGTTACCACCATAGGTACCCAAACATGCATATATCTAAATAGATATCTTTGTATGCTACTGCATTTATTTCTACAAGCCAGACCTTCCAATGGAATTATGAGTTACACTTGTTTATAAATTACAGTAGAGAAATGCCAATTCACCTTCCCAAAAGTTGACACAATTTACATCCCCAGCACCAGTTTTTAAGTACTAGGCTTATCGGTGTATGATTTTGCTAATCTGGTGACAGATGGCTTCAGACTGTTCTCATTTGAACTTCCCTGGCCACCGGTGAGCACAGGTGTCCTTTTACACATTATTCTACCATTAACTTTTTCATTCCTGGACTTTACTCTTTACTCCTGAGCTGCTGAGGTTCCCGAGCGTTGTCCGGGTGCTTTCTATGCACAGTGATGGGAGCACAAAGCTTTATGCTTTATGTGTCTGCCCCGTGTGCTTCACAGGTGTGTGGCGTTCTCAGCATGCCATTTGGTTTTTCTTTGTTTATATTTTCCAAATTATTTAACTGGGAATCATGTATGGGAAGCATGTTATGTGTGTCTCTACTTTCTTTGACTGACTTTCATTTAAAAGCTTGTCTATCAAAGCAACCCCAAATGGGAATGAGTCTGAGCGGTAGAGCAGCAAGTGAATAGCCCTAGATTGAATCCTCCCACAACATGTGTGTGTGTGTATGCGTATGTGTTTGTGCACACACACACACACACACACACACACACACACACACACACACACACACATGCATACACGCACATGTTTTTTTGTTTTTGTTTTTGTTTTGTTTTGTCTTTTTTTATTTTTTTTCATGGCTGGGTTTCCACATCCCTGCCCCCACAACCCGGGAAATACATAGCTGCTTCTCTGACCTGTTTTTCATACAGAAGTCAGAATGACTTCTGCCTTCCTAGCCTAAAACCCTTGCCTACTTTCTACTGTCCTAGATAAGAGCTCTGAGTCTTCAGTGTGGCCCAGAGGCATCTAAGGAGAGAGAAGGGAACTTCATGTGGACCTCATGCAGAGCTGGTCAGCACATGAAGAGCTGCTCCTGTCAGGACCCTCCGTACAGAAGGCCCTTTCAGCTTAGAGGCTGCTGTCCAATTTCTGCTTCCTTTTCTCAAGTGTCTTATTAGCTGGCCTTGAACCCCAGGGCATTCCAACGGCATTAAAATGTACTGTGATTTTTTATGTCTCACTGAGAGCTGTGCTCTTGGTGGGCTTTAATTATTGCTTCCTCTGTCCTCTGGTGAGGAAGCTATCTGTGACCCTCCTTCAGCTCCCAGCCAGGAACCTCTGACGTGCCTTCCTTCTCTGGTGGAGCTACATGCAAGCAGCTCCCATCACTAGGTGAGCCCTCGGTCTCTGGTGTGTGTGAGGTACCAGATCCACTTACAGTTCTGAAGTCCTGTTCCCCACAGGGGGTGGGGCGGGAGGATGGTCACAGAGGTTTCGTGTGGGGTGGAGGAAGGGTCCTTGCACTGGACTCCGAATTACGGCAGAGCTGGAGGCTTGGCACCTTCTGAGCCTGAATCTTAAAAGCTCTCATGACACCTGGGGCTCACCCCTTTCTCCTATGGGCCGAGATGCTTTGCTGGGGGAGCCTGCCTTTGGTTTCCTGAGGGTAGTTGTGGGTACCATGGTAACAGCAATCAGATTCCAAGGACTTCCTGTTCCGGGTTCTGGTGCTAGCTCAGCTGGAGGCTTCAGGTTGTCTGCTGAGGAGAGACAAGGCTGTCATTGAACAGACAGCTGTGAGTGACAGCTCCTCACCCAGACCACTGGGTGCCATGAGCGTCCTCCTGCCCCCCTCTGGAGGCAACGGTGCTGTACTTGTTCAGGGGACCATATCAGTGTCCTTACAGCACCTGAGCCACCTGAAGGATCCATCCTCTGATCTTTAATCCCTTCCACTGGAAAAACTTGAGGTCCTACCCAGCTCTGGAATTTGGGGTACTCAGTTTCTAGCTTCCTGTATCTAACAATGTTTTGACAAAACAATATTTCAATAAAAATCACAGTTTACATTATTGAAACTACCCCAAGGAGTTACTTTTTAAGAGGTGTTTTTTTTTCTTCTGCTTTCCCTAAGAATTGCCTTTAAGTCAAGGATGAGACCAAGACTTTTCATATTAGGTGCCAGGGTAGAAGGTAAAAGTCCCCTCAGTCATGTCCCCTGGGAACTTTGGTCTAGGTCTAGTCCATCACCCCAGAAACCACAGGGAACCCTAGTCACAGGACAGGAAACTGAAGTCGGTTAGGCAGCGTGTGAGGCCGAAGACTGGCTCTCTCGTGACCTTCATTTGCAGCCTCCCCTGGGGAAGCAGGTAAATTATAAAGGAGGGCAGGAAGGCATGCTCTTCTACCTATAATTATGTTCTAGAAAATATATAACACGGAGTGCACTGGCGGCATCTCTGGATTGGCCTGCCTGCTCAACTCCCACCCTTTGAATTCTGCCTGCAACCTCTTTGCTGAGCAGTTGGTTATATGGAGGATTCTGAGTGACTTTACCCATCCCAAGAGCCTGACAACCAAACATGGCCTTTAGAAAGTGCTAAAAAGAGGTCCCTAGAACTGGCAAATTGGATATACAACTCTGCTTTTACATTCAAATGAGCATTGCATGTGAGCCCATGCCTTCTCATGTATGTGCACATGAAGGTATGTATATGTCTGTGTGGTCATGGACCTGGTGTTTGTACCTAGCTGCTGTGTACATGATTAGAATTGCGTTCACATTTGTGTGTCAGGGGGCATCTTTAGTAGCCTGAGTGGCTCCTGGGTGTGCATTTTTTTTCTTCTGGGGTGTTCCTTGGATTGGGAGACTGGGAGTGCAGTAGAAGAGGGTTCATGGCAGCTCACAACTGACCTTGTCGGCTGTCACTCAACCTGGGAAAGCTGATGTTCAATGGTTTGTGCTTTATGGGTGGGTAAAGCCACTCACAGAGCCCTCCACACAGCCAAGTGCTCTGCAAAGAGAAAGTAGGCAGAATCCAAAGGGTGGAGGTCGAGGAGGCAGGCAAATTCAGAGACACCCGCAGTGTGCTCAGAGGCATAGAACTAGAAGAAGCACGGATTTGGGGTGGAGTCTAAAAACCTTCTGCCGCTTTTTGTCATCCCAGCATACCAGGAGAGGTCAGGAAGGGGTGCTCAGTGGCAGGACGTGGTGACAGAGAACACAGGCTGAGAGCACTGACTTTGTTTTATAGGCAGGGGTTAGGAGCCCAGCTCAGGGTCTGCCCATACTCCTACTAGAGTATAGCTAGGTGGAAGCAGGTTTCAAGTGGATGCACAGGGCTCACAGGGCCCAGATGTGAGCCTGTGCTCCTGGCTAGGTTGTGGGCCTTCTCTACACTCTGGAAGCAAAGCATTATTGGAACCATTTTTCTTTTATAAATCCAATACTCAGAGGAGACAGATTCAGAGGCAGGAAAACCTGGAGGGAAAGGCACCGAGACAAGAGCTCACCATAGAGCCCTAGACAGCCTCATACCCCCTGCCTTACTCAGCTAGGCCGAGTCTTGTGTCAACACCCCTGCTCCTACCTCTCAAGTTTGGGGATGGATTACAGGTATGTACCACCATGCCTGGCTGCCAAAATATTTTGACAATAAACTAATTTGAATACCATGGCCAAAATTAACCTTCATTAATACTATATCAATATTTGTGCATGCATGTATACATCCCCCCCCACACACACATTCCTGTGTATTATTGAGAATGGTGACACTGTGTTTCTTTCTTTTTTATTTTTTTTTTTTTTTTTTTTTTTTTTGGTTTTTCGAGACAGGGTTTCCCTGTGTAGCTTTGCGCCTGTCCTGGAACTCACTTGGTAGCCCAGGCTGGCCTCGAACTCACAGAGATCCGCCTGGCTCTGCCTCCCGAGTGCTGGGATTAAAGGCGTGCGCCACCACCGCCCGGCCTCTTTCTTTTTTAAAGATTTATTTATTTATTATGTATACAGCATGTATGACAGCAGGCCAGAAGAAGGCACCAGATCTCATTACAGATGGTTGTGAGCTACCATGTGGTTGCTGGGAATTGAACTCAGGACCTCTGGAAGAGCAGTCAGTGCTTTTAACCTCTGAGCCATCTCTCCAGCCCGACACTGTGTTTCTTGATGTGGGGGAAAGCGATGAATAGTGTAACCAGGCACTCTGACAGACATTAGTGTCTACACACACTGTCTACACACACTCTTCTGGAGCCTTACCCACCCATTATAGTACACACAGTCTGCTCTCTGATCTTGAGTCTGTCTGCTGCATCCCTCCTAGCCCAATGCCAAGACCATGCTGTGATAGAATGGTGTGTGTATAAGGAGGTCCCTCAGCAAAAGCACTGCGGGACAGATCTGCCCTCTTTATATGGCTTCTTCCTCTTTACCCCAAACTTTCCCCCATGTACATTTTTCTCTGGAATGGCTTTATAAATGATCTTAATTAAGGTATTTGAAATACAAGAACCTGAACCCTCCTGACATCCCACCTCTCCTCTGAGTACCAATCCTGGCAGGGCAACTGGCTAAGAGAAAAATCCCTGAACACCTCCTAGTGGCCACAATGGGGAAGTGTCCTGTGCCACAATCTCCACCACCCCGAGCCCAACTTTTGGCCTTGGCTGTGTTGACCACAGCCTTCAGCTCACCCCTAGAGTCCTCAGCACACACACTCCATGGATCTCTCAGGAGCTGAGCTGTAAGACAAAGTCAAAAACAAACGCACAAAAGTGGAAAGAGCTCCAGCTCCCCGCCCTGGAAATTGCTGTAGGATGTCCTGTATGCTGTGAATATAGGTTGCTATTATTGATGGATAAATAAAACGCTGATTGGCCAGTAGCCAGGCAGGAAGTATAGGCAGGACAAAGAGAGAGGAGAATTCTGCAAAGTAAAAGGCTAAGGCAGAGAAACACTACCAGCCACCATGATGAGAAGCAGATACTGGTAAGCCATGAGCCACGTGGCAACTTATAGATGAATAGAAATGGGTTAATTTGGGCTAGACGGTGGTGGCACATGCCTTTAATCCCAGCACTCAGGAGGCAGAGGCAGGTGGATCTTTGTGAGTTCGAGGCCAGCCTGGTCTACAGTGCGAGATCCAGGAAAGGCGCAAAGTTACACAGAGAAGCCCTGTCTTGAAAAACCAAAAAAAAAAAAAAAAAAAAAAAAAGGGTAATTTAAGATATAAAAACAGATAGCAAGAAGCCTGAGCCATGGCCATACAGTTTATAAGTAATATAAGTCTCTGTGTGTTTAATTGGGCCTGAGCGGCTACAGGAGCCGGATGGACACAGTTTTAGGAAATTCTACTTGGTGGCATCCACTTGCTGGGGATGGTAATGACCCACCCCAAAAACTAAATGTGGAGAGGGAAGCATAGCCTGGTCAAAACAGTAAATGAACCTCCAACCAGACCATGAAGATAGATGCATTGTCTCACAAGAAATTAAAAATAATCCTTTTAGAGCAGGTATGTTGGGTGCTGGCCTGTACTCCCAACACTGGGACATAGAGGCAGGAGTTCAAGGTCATCTTTGATTATACGGGCACTTTGAGGCCAGACTATCATAAACAAATAAGAAGGAAGAGACTCTGACAGAAGCCCAATATACCTCCGGACAGCACAGATAGCTGGGCTCATGGAACAGCCTGTTACATATGAAGACATGCTAAGGCAGGAGGATCATAAATTCCC